GCCCCGGAAGCGCCGCCGTCTGCCCGCGCGTGGAGCCGGGATGCCGCGGACGCGGGCGGAGGTGGACGCCACGCTGCAGGCCGCCAAGCTGCGAGCGGCCGAGCTGCTGCCCACGGCGCTGAGCCTGCGCTTCGGGCCCGGCGCGGCCTGCTGCCTGCTGGAGCTGGAGCCTGCGCTGTGCCGCCGCCTGGAGGCCGGGAGCAGGTGAGCGGGCGGCCGGGCGGGAAGCCCGCTCATGCGCCACGGGCCCTGGGTTTAACGCCCAGCCCCGGGAAAAGAAACAAAGCCCACAGTTCGGTATTTGGGGTTCTGTTTGCTTTTTGTTTTCCGACACAGGTCTCACTAGGTAGCCTAGCTGGGCGGGCCCTGGTGGCGCACGCCTGTCAGCCCAGCACTCCAGAGGCTGAGGCAGGAGGATCACCGCTACTTCCAGGCCAGCCTGGGCTACATAGTGAGACCCTGTCTCAAAAAAACCTAAACAAATAAATAAAAGAGTAGGTCCTTGGGCCCACTAGGCATTATTAGCAGCTGAAAGCCTTTTGTTCTTTTCATGTACCGAAGGCTTAATTTTAAAAAGTAGTCTGTTTTTAGTTTCTTTTGTTTTTGTTTTTTCTTTTTCTGTTGTGTGTGTGTGTGTGTGTGTGTGTGTGTGTGTGTGGCAGAGTTTCACTGTGTAGTCCAGGTTATCTTTGACCTTGCTATGCTCTTAGGCTCAGATTTAGCAATTCTCCTGCCTCAGCCTCCTGAATGCTGGGCTGATAGGCCAGTACCATCCGCCCAGCTTATTTTAGGTTCTTTGTGTGAGTTTGAGGAGCTGCACTTTGGCCTGCTTTAGAAACGGGTATCCTGGGGTTTTGGGGGCGCGGGGGTATTGAGGGTTAAACCAGAGGCGCTCAATCACTGAGCTACATCTTCAGACCCCTTTTTAAATTTTGAAAAGTTGCTCAGGCTGAGCTTCAACTTGGAACACTCCTGCCTCAGCCTCCCTCAGTGCTGGGATCACAGGCGTGTGCCACCATACCCAGCTTCCAGTCTTAATTTGGAAACTGCTTGAAATCCAGATGCCCAGTGCAGCCCCGAGAAACCCCGAATTTTCTCCCCGTGTTTCCGAAGCCTCGTGATCCGCGGTGAGAAGGACGAGCAGGCCGTCCTGTGCAGCAGCGACAAAACCTACGAGCTCAAGGTGGCGGACACCTCCAACCTGCTGCTGTGCGTCCCGGGCTGCAAGACGCCTGCGCAGCTGGCGCAGGAGGAGGAGGCCCCCGACCTGATGCACGCGGAGGTACCGTTCTCTGCCCCTTGGCGGCGCGTGCGCCAGTCTTCTCTTCAGCGTAAGCTTTAGATGTAAGCAGGGTGTAGGGCCGCACACCTGTGATCCCAGAGCTCTTGGGGCCTGAAGCAGGAGGATCGCTGCGAGTTGGAGCCCAGCCTGGGCTACACAGTGAGATTCTGTCTCACAAAAACAAAGACAAATACCCCCAAATTACATTTTAAAAACTTTTAGGTATAAAGTATATAATCATGAGATTCGGAGAAATTTCATGAAATTGAAAATTTCTCAGCATTATTATTTTTGTTTGAATTATTGTGAACGTGTGTGTATTTTCCCAGTTTGATTTTTCTTTCTTTTTTTTGTGGTACCAGGGATCAAACTCAGGGCCTTGCGCTTGCAAGGCAGGCACGGTGCCACTGAGCTACATCCCTGGCCCCCTTTTGGGTTTTTTTAAAGATAGAGTCTCATTATATATTTCAGACTGGCCTTGAGGTTGTGGAGATCCTCCTGCCTCCGCCTCCCACAGTGTTTGGATTATGGTGTGCCTACTTCGGCCTAGAAGGTACTTGCAGTCCACAAAAGTCTCTCCTTTGCCTCCTGTTTCATTTTTAGGGGACACAGAACAACAGCGCCCCATGTCCCTTTAACATCCCTTCGTTATTTGAAGATTATGGTAATGTCTCATTGTTAGCGTGTTTTTCAGCCAGACTGTGCTGCTTCTGCCTCGTGTGCAGAATTGGGGCAGTCCTGGTCAGCTTTTCCTGGGCGTAGTTCGTTTCTAGAGTGTGCTTGAGGAATGACGTTCAACCCCTCATTTTCAGCCAGGCATGGTGGCACGTTCCTGTCATCCCAGCATGGGGAGGCTGAGGCAGGAGGATCGCTGTGAGTTCAAGGCCAACCTGGACTGCATAGCGAGAGCCTATCTCAAAAATTAAAAAAAAACACATCATTCTCACTTTGTCACGATGTTGGCTGAGCTGGCCTCTGAAGAGATACCTCTACTCTTTCTCTCTTGGTGCTCGTTGACAGTTGGGTTTTTGGAATTTCTTTCAGGATGGCTGCTAAAGCATTATGATGTGTTATAATTTCTAGATCTTTGGTTTTTCCAATAATTACTGGGAATTAAGAAGATGCAGACCTAAACTACAGAAGCTGAGGAAACTTCTGAAAGAAAACACCTATGAAGGGCCCGACAGCCCAAAAGAAATGGATTCGAATCGCTCCAAGGTGAGACTGTCATTGTCACTTTTACTACAAATTAGGTAAAAGATCTGATTAGATGCACTGAACAGCGACGTTCTCACCTTCATGTTTGTCTTCAAACAAGCCTACTGCAGTGGGCGTCTCGTCGAGGGCCACCTACCTTACGTTGGTCCTATGGCATCTGCTCTCAAAGCTGGGCAGGGATGGCGTGGGCAGGACTGGGGCAGGAGGCCATGCAGAAGGGCTGGGTGCTGTAGGCCCCAGAGGAATGGTACGGTGCTCTCACTGTGGTCTTTGCTTCTGAGACAGGATCTCAGTTGAACTCAAGGTGATCCTCCTGCCTCAGCCTCCCGAGTGCTGGGATCACAGGTGTGCACCACCAGGCCTGCTCTCGTTGTGGTTCTTTGATAATTTTGAGCATCTTTTGATGTTCTTATTGGGCATCTGTACATCTCTGGAGCAATGTCTGCTCCATTCCTTTGCCTGTTTGTAATTGAGTTGTTCATCTTTTTATTACTGAGTTACAGGAAGTTTGTTTCATCTACACGTCAGGCCTGTTCTTTTCTTTTTTATTGTAGTAGAACGAACACGACAGTGTTTAGCCTTGAAAGCATGCTTGCGCGTATGCTCAGCCCTTTGTGGTCCCCAGGAGTGTGTGTGAGCCTCAGCACCCTCCTTCTCCAGCCTTGGCCCCTCCTCGTGCTCCCGGTCCCCTGTCACTGTCCCTGCAGGCAGCAGCCACGTCCGACTTCTGTCTCTGCGGACTTGACAACTCCGTGTCCAGCACAGAGGCGGGCCGTGCATGTTTGTGTTTTGTGTGGTGCGTGCTTAAGTACAGAAGTATATTATTGTGATGCAGTGTGGATGATCTCGTTTTCCTTTTGGTGCTGAAGAAACCATTTCCAGCTGTGCACGGTGGCACAGGCCTGTATTTCCAGCTACTTGGGAGGTTGAGGCAGGACGATTGCAAACTTCCGTGTCCTCCCTAGGCAATTTAGTGAGACGTTGTTCAAAATAAAAAAACCAAAAAGAGCAGCACTTGTAGCTCAGTGCCAGGCCCTGGGTTCAATCCTCAGCACTGTCAAAAAATAAAATACAAAGAATCATCGCCAAATCCCAAGAAATGAAGATTTACCTCTCTTTTTTCTTCTAAGAGTCCCCACCTGATGGGATTGAACTCGAGGGCTTTGCACTGAGCTACGCACCCAGCTCTTCTTTTATTTTTATTATTACTTTTTTTCTTTTGTCTTTAATTTTGAGACAGGATCTTGCTAAATTACCAGTGTGGGCTAGAACTTGGAATCATCCTGCCTCAGCCTCCCACAGCACTGGGATTACAAGTGTATGTCACCATGCCCAGTGCGATTCTTCTGTCAGAATCGTTATATATTGATAATAAAAGAATTGAACTAATGCATACATTTTGCCTCATTCAGTTCTATGTATTCTTGTAAATTCAGTGAGAAACCTAAAGAAATCCTATTTTTCAGAGCATTAAAATGTTTGTTTTCTTTTCAGTATACAACTGAGGATTTGCTTGATGTAATTCAGGCAAGTGAGGAAGAAATAATGGCCCACCTGCAAGTTCTGAATGCCTGTGAGATTGGAGGTGTGGTTCTCAGTTATCATTAATAAGGATGGGGCAAGGTGTCAGACGAGAGGAGGCTTTGGGTATCTTCATCCTATTGCAGGTTTACTTAATCTTCCCAGGGACTCAGAGCTGATGGTTTTAGGGACTGGGTGTGCACTAGGCCTTGCCTTCAGTCCACAGTGCCGCAAGCAAACAAAACCGGATTATATTTGTCTCTTGATTTTTTGAGACAGGGTCTGGCCTTGAACTCAAGGCAGTCCCCCTGCCTCTGCCTTCTGAGTGCTGGGATGACAGGCCTAGGCCACCAGACCTGAAAACACAGACTTTTAGTGTTGCTTTTGTTGTTTTTTGGTTTTGCAATGGGCAAGCATATCCTAGTGCTTAGACTGTACAGCTACTTCATTCTCTTGAAATGCCCCTTGGTAAATCTGACTTTTGGAATTCTAGGTTACTGGAGGATTCTTGAATTTGATTATGAGATGAAGCTTCTGAATCATGTGACTCAGCTTGTGGACTCTGAGTCGTGGTCCTTCAGTAAAGTCCCTTTGAGTATTTGCCTTCAGGAGCTGGGCCCACTGGAGCCAGAGTGAGTACTTAATTCCTTGCCCTGCAGATTTTCTGAAGGAGAGGAAAGTTCTTTCTCAGCCTGGAAATAAACTCAGGACATAGACTGTTTATATTTTGATATCTTAGAAAAAATTTAAAAATACACAACCAAAAAGGATTTGGAAATTTTGGTCACTAGGGTGAATGAATCTGCATCGTCTTTTCTTCTTTTTGTCATAAAAATATAAATTTTGTTTGAGCTATTTTATAATAATATCCTTACAGTTCCTATAAAAATGTGTAGCCTGAGGCTTGGCATGTAGCTGTTTCCCAGAGTATATTAGTTCTCAATTTAAATAAAGTATCATGCCATCCAAATAATTTAATATTTCAAATCTCAAATTTATATCTTAGATTCTAGTTAGAAATGAGGTTTAAAAGAAAGTGCATGACGGCCTGTATATCCATCAGCAGATGAATGGATAAAAAAAGTGTAGCATTTACACACAGTGGAGTACTACTCTGTCATAAAGACATAAACTTGAGTCATCTGTAGGAAAATGGATGCACCTTGAGACCATCATGTTTATTGAAATAAATCAGACACACGGCTTGAATATCACATGGTTTCTCTTACATGAGAAACCTAAAGTATAAATAAAAAGCAAAGTAAGTGATAGATAAATAATAGGAGCCAGGCATGGTGGCACACAGCTGTAATCCCAGCATGGGGGCTGAGGCAGGAGGATCTTCATGAGTTTGAGGCCAGTAGGGCTACCTAGTGAGTTCAAGGCCAGCCCGAACTACATAGAGGGCCCTAGAGTCAAAAAGCCAGAATAGGGCCCGGGATTTAGCTCAGTGGTGCTGCCGCCTGCCTCGCAACCCCGAGGTCCCGAGTTTGATCCCTGGTACCAAAAAAACCCCAAAAACCCCAGAATAAGTAAATAAATAGGTAGGTAATAGGAAGTAAGGAGATACATCTTTTGCAAAAAGGAAGGGAACTGAGAAATGGAAAAGGGAAGGAGATGAAAAGAGAATCATGATGTGTTATGTACAGGTACCAACTTTCCATGAGAAGTATGATCACTGTATATTGTAAACATGGACTAAAAAATAAACACGGTGTTGGGAAAAAATGAATAAAGAATACCTAGAGAGAATTGATCACCAGAATAATATATAGTGCATCATAATGGTGATAACTTTTCAAATGTTTTTTTTTTAATTTTCAGGGAAATGATAGAGCACTGTCTCAAGTGTTATGGAAGGAAATATGTAGATGATGGTAAGTTTTGGAGGTGTGCTTACGCGCAATGAATTTTTGTACGGTAGGGTTGGTGTGTCTATGTGGAGTGAGCTGGTATTAAAAATAAGACCTGTAGGACTGGGAGTGAGGGAGGTGTTGCCTTAGTTACTTTCTCATTACTGGGGCAAAATACCCAACAGCCAGAATTAAAGGAGGAAAGGTTTATTTCAGCTCACAGTTTGTAGAGATTTCAATTGGCTGGCTCCAAGACCAGATGGCATAGCAGAAGAGAAACAGTCCATGGCAGGGTAGGCAGGAAATAGCAGCAGCGGCAGCATCTGCAGCAGTGGCAGAAACAGCAGCAGCAGTGAGCCTTCCTTTCCCTTTTATTGCATCCAGGCTACAAGCCTATTGGTTGGCGCCACCCATACCCAGAGTGGAGCTTCTGTTTTCAGTAAATCCATTCAGCCACACCCAGAATCACACTAAACCAACTGGTGACTACACTAGTGCCACACATCCAGAATAGCAGAGTCACACCCATGAGCCAGCCACGTCCCAAGAGCCCCACCTATGAGTGTATGAGGCTTTGGGGGGACATCTAGACACAAGCCCTAGCAGGTGATAATGCCAAGAAGTGGTGGAAAGGAAGTGAGGACCTACTGGAGGATAACACAGGGCTCTCTGATGCCTTTTCTGCAGGCGAAGTTTATTTTGAGCTGAGTGCTGATAAGATTTGCCGCACCACAGCCCAGATGCTTCTGCAGAACGCAGTGAAGTTCAATCTGGCTGAGTTCCAGGTGGTGTGGCAGCAGAGCGTCCCTGAAGGGATGGCAACCAGTCTGGACCAGCTCAAGGTAACCCTGCTGGGCCTGCTGCATGGTTCCAGGTCATTGCCCCCAGGTGAGGATGGCCTGCAGCTGAATGTGGAGGCTCCTGCTCTCCTGGACGCCCATCCACACACTGTCCTTCAGACATGCCAGGACTCTACAGAGACCTGCAGATCGTAACGTTTGCTCTTTTGCTGTTCTTTGAGACAGGGTCTCGCTATGCAGTTCAGGCTGGGCTTGAACTCATGTAGTTCAGGCTGTGCTGTGAGGAGCAGAACCTAGGTTTGCTATTTCCCTAGGATGGTGCAGAGCTGGGTGGACCTGGACGCAGTAGCTGGACTCGGGGAGGGCACTGAGTGAAGTGAGAAGTCACAGCCCTGAGCAGTGAGCGGCAGGGAGAGGGACAGGAGCAGACCCAGGGGAGATGGGCGGGAAGCGGGTCGGGACAGAGGCCGGGAAGCACACAAGGCAGGAGGACAGAAAGCATGAAGCTGAGGTGGGGATGGGTGTGGGAGGGAAGAGCCACCCATGTTCCCAAGAAGTGAGGACCAGGAGTCCAGGAAGGGCCCCGCTGGACTGGGGGTGGACTGACCCTGTGGCCCGCTGTCCGAACAAACAGGGTGATAGAAGCCAGACTGCAGAAGGAAACAGCAGTCATATAAAGGAGCAGCATGGTGGAGCACGCCTGTAATCCCAGCACTCAGAGGCTGAGGCAGGAGGGTCATACCAAGTTTGAGTCTGGCCTGGGCTACACAGTGAGTTCAAGGCCAGCCTGGAATATGTAGCAAGACCTCGTCTCAAAAAAAAGCAGCTGTTTTTATAAGAAAAGACTTAAAATCTCTGGGTACTTTTGTGAGGCTGGTCTTTACCTTGGGCTAAGCTGAAGCACATGGTTAAAGAATGAGCCAGTTTGAAACAGTGGATCATGTTGTGAACCGCCCTTTTCCCTCTGTTTCTTTCTTTCTTTTTTTTTTTCTTTTCTTTTCTTTCCCTTCTGTTTCTTACAGGGTTTAGCGCTGGTGGATAGACACTCAAGGCCAGAAATCATATTTCTGCTCAAAGCTGATGATTTACCTGAGGGAAATCAGGAACGTTTTAATGCTCTGTTCTCTCTACGGGAGAAGTGGACGGAAGAAGACATCGCTCCCTACATCCAGTAAGTTTTTTTTTTTTGTATTAAATTATTTTATTGGTACATTGTAGGTATACAACACAATTACATTTCTTATTGGGAATTGTACCTTTACATAATGCATCTTGGTTCTTATTTTTTCCCCATTCCTAGCCCTCCCTTCACGCCCTACATCCAGTAAGTAAATGAATACCAATTGATTTTTGTTTTGTTTGAGACAGGGTCTTCCTAGGTAGTCAGACTGGCCTTTGATTCACTGTGTAGCCCAGGCTTGCCTTGAAGTTGCAGAGATCCTCCTGCCTCACGTTCCCGAGTGCTAGGGTTACAGGTGTGTGCCACTAGGCCCAGCTACGACTTTCTTGAGAAAACGTAAGCATTAGACCAGAACCACCTTTTTCCCTATTGCCCAATCCCTCACCCTTATTTGGGACCTTTGTTGGTAGAACTTCCTGTCTGGTGCCTGGCCTGTCCCTGCATGGGATCTGCCTCAGACCGGGCTCCTCCCCCTGGTGTTCATGTGTCCCCAGGGATTCTGTAATACATCCATTTCCACATTCAGCAGCAGCTACCTCCTGGGCCCCAGGTCTCTGCTGTCCTTCACAGGAAAACAGATGGCTGGAATCCCAGCACTTGGGAGGCTGAGGCAGGAGGATCCCTAGTTTGAGCCCAACCTGAGCAATTTAGTGGGACCTTGTCTCACAGAAAGGGCTGGGGATGCAGCTCAGTGTGAAGGCCCGGACTGCAGTCCCAGTGCTGAAGGGGGAAGGAAGACTTCCGTGGACTTAGCGTGCTTCTTCACCTCCCGTTCTTCCCTTCACCCACGCACATCTTACTCCAGAGATGTCCATGCTTCCGCTCTCTGGCGCCGACTGTCTGTGTCTGGCGTAGTTGGCCCTCAGCACTCAGGCGCCCAGCCTTCCTGCCGCTGGGAAGGAACACTCTCCTCCTCCCCCTGCGTCTGTGTGGCAGAGCCTCCAGGGCTGTCTCTGGCCCCACCTCTTCCCCGCCTGCATCTCCTCCGTGACCCTCGCCTTACAGGTGGTGCTTGCATGGTTGCATTTAGTCAGCGCTCCTCGCTCCTCGAAGAGCCGGCTCCATCCTGCCCTCCCCTTCACCTCAGGGAGGAGGAGTACCCGTCCTGGGTACTTGGTGGTGTGCATCTTCGGGCTTACAGCATCCGTCCCTCCAGGCTGCACCGCTGGGATTAGCAGCTAGCACGGATCTACTCAGTGCCACGGTGATGAATTAAAGGGATGCGTTTAAGAGAGGAAGACGCTTTGAAGAAAAAGCCCAAACCAGACAGCTGCCTGCCACAGAGAGGGGCAGGGAGCCCCAGAAAGCTGGGTGCCCAAGGGCCCTTTGTCCCTGGCTTATGTTTTTTTCATTTTTGGTACTTGGGATCGAACTCTGGACCTTCTGCTTGCAAGGCAGGCAGGCAGTGGCACTACTGAGCTAAATCTCCAGCCCTGTCCCTGGCTTCTTTTATTGGGTTAGGAACCCTTCCTTCTGGGCAGGTACTTGGAACTTGCCACAACCTGATTGGCTCCCGGGACTGTCTTTAGATGGACCCGAGGACTGGGGATTTAGCTCAGTGGTTCTGCCGCCTGCCTTGCAAGCACAAGGTCCAGATTTTGATCCCCGGTACCAAAAAAAGAAAAAAAAAAATAGATGGACCCGAGACCACAGACACCACTGCCTACATGTGTGGTCCTTGTGGTAGGCATGGCTTGACCTCTTCCTCCTCATTGGTCCTTAACCCTGGGATGGATGGGTTGGTTGCTAGGAGCTTTATAGACAAGGCAGCTTAGATTTAGTGATGCCTGTGTATCTAGTGCAGTAGTATAATAACCCTAGAGTATGTAAGTGCATAGGTGTGAGTACACGTTTTTATATACTGAAGAGCTTTCTGTAAAGTCAGTAGCCCCTCCCGAGGGCTCCTTTGCATTGTGGGAGGTGGGGTGGGGGGTCCTTCCCTCCCTCCCCTGCCTGCCACCCTGGCTCTGGTCTCTGATGAGGGTTCTCATGCCATCTGTGCCATCTGGTGCCTGTTTATATCTGGTTTTCTCTCCCTCTACCCTTGTCCTTGTAATTGCTCCCAAAGGGATTTCTCCAGTAGTTTTACCAGGATTAGCCAGACAATCTAGAGGCCTTTACTCTGTTCTTCTCTGTCTACAGACCCCCTTCCCCCTCATTCTTAGTTAAGGAGGCCGAGGCTGGGGAGCATGTAACTCCAGGAGTGCGAATGAGTCTGGGCAATATGAAAAGGCCTCACCTCAAAAACCAGATGAAAGCAGTCTAGGAGCCATCTTCACCCTTTCCTTCCTGCCTGGTTTAAACCAGGAGCCGATCCTGTGAGCTGTCTTGTGTCTGCTTCTGAATGGGCTCCTTCCGTCTTGCCCTCTCGATTCTGCCTGTCTCGTGTTGTGTGGTACTTGCGATGCCCAGTTGCCGGGCATGAGCCCAGGCCTCACACGTCTTGGCAAGGCCCTCCCTCTGGGGCACACCCCCAGCCCCCTGGTGTTTATAGTTTGCAGTGTTTTTTTCTTTTTGTTTTTAAATGGTGCGGGCTAGGCCAGCGCTCCCCACGGAGGTCCACCTCCATCCATTTAGTTTCATTTTGACGGGTTGACAAGTTGCCAGGCCTCCAACTTTGGGTCTTCAGCTGCAGACATTCTGAAACATCCGGAAGTGACCAGTGACTTCTCCCAGTACCCAGCTTCCCAAATCATCATCTCATGGCCTCCATTACTTAAAACTTAGACCTCCTGATGCCTTTCCTGTTGTGCGTGACCCTCCCTTCTGTGTCCTTCGAGACCCCTCCACCTGGCTCTGTCCTCTCCAGCAGGTCACCCCCCCCCAATGTCCCTGTCCTTGTCTTCTGTATGTGGTAAGGAGAGAGAGGATGGCTGCACAAACTCTTACACAGTCTGGGCTCCAGGTTCTCCGGCTCTATACCCTACCGTGACACTGCTTGTATTTCTGTCTTGGTTCAGTTGAGACTTCGAACTGCCAGGTATGGTTGTCCAGTCCTGTATTCCCAGCACTCAGGAGGCTGAGGCAGGAGGATTGCTGGATGTTAAAGCCAGCCTAGGCTACATAGTTCAAGGCCAGCCTGGACTACATAGTAAGACCCTGTCTCAAAAATAAATAAAAAGACTTGAAACCCCTACCCTGTTTCCCCTGTAAACACATACCCTTATGCCTATGGGAAAGATGGCTGTGGGGGGAAAGCGATATTCATGCTGTTCATTTGGGTTTTCTGGTGGTTTCTGCAGAGACCTATGTGGAGAGAAGCAAACGATAGGTGCCTTGCTCACGAAATATTCACGCTCCTCCATGCAGAATGGCGTGAAAGTTTACAACTCCCGAAGACCCATTTCCTAAGGAACAGCAGTCCGCCTGGGGCGCAGTGGCTTTATGAAGTGTGAGATACAGAAACAGATTCTCTTGTGAATTTTTGTTCCTGACTTTTCCATGAAGCTGTTTTTTCTCCACTGCTCTCCTATAATGGGACATTTATTCATCCTTGACATTTGTACTATGAGAACAAGGCGAAATAAAGTATTTCCTACCTGTGCCTCTGATGATTGTGTGGCTTTATTTTTAGAAAGAGGTTTTGTATGTAAAATTCCATGCCTTAATTAGGATTTGACGTTCTGGTCATTAATACATTGAGACTTTTTGAGAGCTAAATACTGAGAGAAGAGATTTATTCACAGCAGGTGTGGTGGCGCAAGCCTCTAATCCCAGGACTCTGGAAGGCTGAAGCAGAAGGATCTCAAGTTTGAGCCCAGCCTGGGCTGATTTAAATCCTGTTTCAAAATAAAAACCAAAAAAGGCTGGGGATGTACTTGACATAAAGGCCCTGAGTTCAGTCCTCAGTGCCCCCCAAAGGGAGACTGTACTCACCAAAATGCCATTTCTCAAGCAAGTTCCCCTCGGTTTCCCACCAGAACTGGGGGTCACTAGGCACCGCGAGTTCTTCACATTGAAGCCAGCTTGGTAACTGCTCCCTGTTGACCTGGGTGGCACATACCCGCACTTTGGGTAAGAAGGGTTTGGTCCTCAGTCGCACGTGGAGAACCCTAATGGAGCAGCATGTGCTCCTCACACATGACAGGAATCACACACACGCCAGGCCCATGATGGTTACAGCCTGCTGCAGCATGCATGCCATAGGTTGGCCACCACTGTTCTAGGTGGTTCTGCAATGCTTGGTAAGAGGGTTTTCTTTGGCTTTTTTTGAGATAGGGTCTCACTAGCCCAGGATGGGCTCAAACTCATGGTGATACTCCTGCCTCAGCCTTCTTAGTGCTGGTATTACAGGCATTGGTGAATTCCTTAGAGGCTTATTTTCCTATTTTAGACCAAAGTTCAAATTACTTTTAAAATGGCTAATGAACTTGTCGCCAGGGTGGCTGGAGGGTAGGCCAAGATAAATCTGGCCCAAGGTTTTAAAAGGTTAATGCAGGGCCGGGGATTTAGCTCAGTGGTTTCTTCACCTGCTGCGCAAGCACCAAGGACCTGAGTTTGATCCCGGTACCAAAAACAAAAAACAAAAGGTTAATGCAGTACTGGGTGTGGTAGCACAAGCCTGTAATCCCAGCACTTGGGAACTTGGGAGGCTGAGGCAGGGGGATCACAGTAAGTTCAAGGCCAGCTGAGACTACATAGCAAGACCCTATCTCAAAAAAAAAAAAAAAGAATGCACAATTAACAGAAACTTAACTGTATACTGAAGTTCACTCGTTTACAGTTATGCACCTGAATAAGCATGATGGATTCAAGGTATTTATCTTTCAATAAATTTTTCTGCATTCATAGAGGTTATGCAGTATACTATATAGTATTACATATTATAAACCTAATATATGCTATACATAGGATTTTATGTATACATATATACTATATAATCCATATTACTGTGTGAATATACAGAGTTCACCAAAAAATGTATATACATATCAGGAAAAGAAAAACTTGTATTATTGAGACACATAATTAACACGAGTCACCTCTGGCCTCCACAATCACAAGAGCTGCTCAAAGCAGTGACCGTGAGCTTGCGGACATTTATTAGCGTGGTGAACCGCTGCCTGGGTGACCTCGGTCAGAGTGTCCATTGAGATTGCTGCACATGCACTTTCAATGTCTTCTCTAAGCCCCAGCAGAGCAGTGGGTTTTCTGTGACACACGACATCCTGTAGAGTCCCCCACAGATAAAAGTCTGCAGGTGTTAAGTCAGGAGAACGTTCGGGGAACTCAACTGCACCTCTTCGTCCGAGCCAGTGTCCTTGCAAATGCCTGTCCAGGTAAGCTTGGACATCTCTGTGGTCGTGTGGCAGTGCACTGTCTTGCTGCAAGAAAAATTCATCATTTCCATAAAGTGCACGTACGGCAGGTAAGATGGACGTGCGTAACATGTCTAGGTACGCTTGGCCTGTAACTGTACCTTCAAACAAGAACGGTCCTATCAAGCCTCTGGCTGACACCCCACACCAGACGTCAACTCCCGGTGAACTGACCGCTCTGTCCACAGGCACATCAGCATTTCCTGGTGCCCAGTAAACACAGTTATGTCGGTGCACAGTCCCGTTAAGCTTAAACTGTGCTTCCCCAGACCACACAATCTTCCTCACAAACTCCCCATCCTCACTTACCATGTGTTGAAACCACTCACAAAACTGGACTCTTCGATTCGGATCATCTTCATTGATTGCATGGAACAGTCTTGGGATGTAAACTTGCCACTTTGCTCTTTTAAGGATGAGCTGCATGCTTGTACTGCTTACTCCTGTCTCACGTGCACACTGTGCAGCAGACTTCTGTGGTGAGAGTGTGAACACTTCCAGCACCATCGCCGAGGAGGCAGCACCTGTTGCTGTACGAGGTCTGCTGGACTGTCCTTTATGCACGTCACACATGGTACCATGTTTTACAAACTTATCCCGAATCCGTGAAATTGTCAGGCGTGTTGGAGGTTCTGTTCCGAACTCATGCCTCCACCGTCGTTGTACTTCACCGCTATTCTCAAATTTGAAATACCATATTAAAATGGTCTTACGTTCCTCAATCGATAACCGTACCTCCGCCATTTTGTCCTGTCATTTACGTCATCTGATGACACTGCAGCCACAAGGGTAACACCATCTGTTGAAAAGAATCATATTATTTTTCTGAAGTGTGCACACATTTTTGGGCAGACTGCATATAATGTACATGGATATAGCTACACATATACGCTACATATTATAACATGTTTTAGTACATTATATATACATGCATAAATACAGCTATACATATATACTATATGTATGAATACATTACTACACACTTGTATGAATATAGCTACACGTTACACACATGGATACAATACATATGTGAATATAACCACATGTACTGTCAGGTATGGATACTATACATATATATGAATAAGATATACATACTGGATATGTATGAATGCATTGTATAACTGCATATTCTATACATACATGTATAGATATAGCTATACATATACAGCATATTATATGTATGAACATGCTACTACACATATTTAATTGTACATATATACCACATGTTAAGAGTACATTACTGTATGTGTATGTAGTTGTATGTATGCAATGTTGCAGAATTTAAGAGACTGGAAAAAAAAAAAAAGAGACTGGAGAGACCAATAGGTGAATCAGGAAAATTTATTTAGGTGAGCACTGGCTCAGTGGAATCAAATCTAAAGGCTTAGCCCAGAACAACAGAATATATTTTGGTCTGCGGGTCTGGTCCTGGTAGCTAAGCTTTTTTTTTCTTTTTGGTACCAGGGATCGAACTCAGGACTTGCACTTGCGAGGCAGGCACAGCGCCAGAGCCACACCCTCACCCAGCAGCCAAGCTTTAATGTCATAGAGTAACCAGCAGCCCATACAGGTAGGTCTACCTGTAGAATGGCAAAGTCTATAGGGTTACAGGTTCTTGTCTAACAATTTGGTTTGGTAGGTAATTTTGCAAGGGTTGCAGTCTCTTGCCCTGATGTAAGGGTTGTGCTTTTCGGTTTGACTGGGATAGTAGCCCAGGTTACACAGTTCCAGCAGAACTATTCAGTCTTGTCATGATCGGAGAGGGGGTGGTAATGAATGGTTCCTTCCAGGATGCACACAAGAGTACAAGACTACCCCTATAGCACCCGCCCCATGATATGAGACACTTCCACATGAGGTTGCAGATGGGCTCAGATATGCTGCTTGGCACGCATCTAGGTACGTGATTTGGAGGGGCCTTGGTTCTAAGAGGCCACAGTCACCTGCTTCCTCCTTCCCAGCATGGACCTCGAACCAGGTTTCATAAGATGGAGACTTGGAGTCACAACAGATGTAAGGCCAGCTGTCTCCTGGGTCATTTGATGATGAGTACAGGTTTCCTGGTGTCCCTGTACATTCATAATAAGTATAAGTAGGTTCTTGTTATGCTGCTCCCCGACCATGTGGTGTAGATGCAGTGGGAACACCCCTCTAGGGATTTTTCCTCTGGCAGGGCCAAAGGGAGAGCTATAACCAAAAGGAAAAGTGACATGTGTTGTTGCTGTACCTCCATGTTGATCCTCAAGCTTTGGCTGTACATGGACTGGTCAGTTTCTGGAGTGCCCAGAGCAGGGCTGCTGTTTCCTCAGGCTTCAGCTGTGTGTAGACTGGTCTCAGCTTCCGGGGCATTGGAGATGGCGGCCCAGTTTCAACATAGGATCAGCTGGCTCAGATGATCTTGATCCTGCTGGCCAATCCACTTGTCTTGCCCCTCCAAGAGGGGAATCTCCCCAGCTGGAGAATACAGTCCATGGACTGGGAGCAAAGTAGCTGGGTTGAGTGTTCACTGTCCCTAGAGTTATGCAAGGATTTTCACATAGGACCTGCTGATACCGAGTCATCCTCAGATGTGATAACCAATGGTGCCCTCTCTGGTCCATTAGGGTTATACCAGAGTGTGGTACTTGAATAGTCAGGTGTTGTCCCAGAATCACCTTGTCAGCCTCCTGCATCAGCACGGTGGCGGCAGTAAGTGTCCTTAGGCATGGAGGCCATCCTAAGGCCAGAGTCCAACTGCTTTGACAAGTCTGCCACCAGACAATGCCAGGATCCCATGACCTGAGTTAGGACTCCTATGGCCATTCCCTTCCATTTGTGGACACACAGGAAGAAAGGCTAGGTTATACCAGGCAGTCCTAAGCCTGGGGCCTGCGTCAGGGCTTCTTTGATTTGTTTAAATGCTCATTCCTGGTCAGCTTCCCAGAGGAGGACTCCTTTTCCCCTCTTTGTGATTTCATATAGAGGCTTAGCCCCAAGTGAGAAACTTGGGATCCCAAGACAACAAAATCCTGTTGTCCCCCAAAACTCTCTTATCTGTGTAGAATGGCTGGGGTTGGGAGGGCTTGGACAGCCTGTTTCCATTCAATGCCCCCCCTTGTGTCACTATGAAGCCTAAATGTCTGACTTCTCATCAGCAAATCTGTGCCTCTTTCTTGGACACCTTATGTCCAGCCTTCCAAAGATGAAGGAGGTCTTTAGCTCCCTGACAGCAGTCCTTGCGGGGTGGGGCTGCCAAAAGGAGGTCATCTACACACTGTAGCAAGGTGCACTTGTCCTCTGGTGTGACGAGGCTTTGAGGTCGGTAGCCAGTGCCTCTCCAAAGAGTGTAGGAGGGTTCTTGAGTGCCTGGGGAAGCCTAGTACAGGTGAGCTGCTCCTTTATGCTCAAGACAGGATCCTCCCACTGAAACACAAAGATGGGCTGGCTGACTAGTGCAAGGTGGAAACAGAAAAAGGCATCTTTCAAGTAAACCAGGCAGCACTGGAATAAGCCGCATCAATGTGTACAGACGTTGTATTGTTGGGTGGATGGTCTCAGTGGCCTAATTCACAGCATGCAAGTCCTGTACTGGCCTATATTCATTATACATTTTTCCATATAACTTAAAAAAGCATCTCAAGCACCAACATGACACCAGAGGATGTGATTTGTTTCAGAAAGGTCCCCAAAACCAACAATGAACAAATAGTGGTCTGAAAAAAAACTCCAGTTAGTTAGCAGACTCCACATAAGCCAAGCTTCTCCCTAATTTAAATTTTGATAGTCATATGACACGTGATGGAAACACAATCCGAGAACTACATTAGGCCATTTCATCTGTGTGTATCCTTAATTACACTCTCAGTTTCTCACACTAGAGAAACTATTCGGTATTTACACATGTGTGTCCTATTTATTTCACTTAAGAGGATGGCCTCAAGATGTATCCATTTAGCTATAAATGTCTCTAGTTTCTCGTTCTTTATGGCTGAGTAGTACTCCATTTTACAAAAAACCCCCACATCTTCTTTATCCAGTCTCCAGTTAATGGGCACTTGGGCTGTTTCCAAGTGTGTTGCATCCAATCTTTAAGGGCCTAAGTCTTCTCCATGTAGAAGGGAGTATGGTGTTTCCAGTTAAGGAAGTCAGCGGTTGAGAAGGGGTGGTAGATAAAGCTCCACTGCCCTTCCTGAATTTCGCTATTCATATCATAATAAATGGGGCCCCTAGTTTTCCAAAGGGGCATCTATAAAGCCCTTGTGTAACCTGATTGGGGGCGACTTGCTTGTTCATTTGGGCTTCCTTCACTTTTCTCTTGGGGCAGTGGCCCTGATTTTTTCCTCTCTAGTGATGCCTCAGACTTGCTGTCATCCAATCCTGCTTCCCGGTGGGCTGGCCTTGGTAAGGAGGGGTGGACTGGCGTGTAAGGGGATAGGATCTTTGCCTCCTCTGGCAGCTCTTGTAGAACTGATTTTTCTTGCTCTTTATGCTGTCTTTCCTTTGTTCCTGTGGCACCCAGTAAGGCTGATTCCTCTATCCCTTTTATCTTAGGCCCAGCTTGGGTATTTTGCAATATGCCACCAGACAGGGCTGTAGCCAGATGGGTCAGGCAGGGCTGGATTATATTCAGCCAGAGTTGATGTAAGGAAATTGGTCTGGATACCCCAACTGTCCTCTGTCCCCAGCCATCACACAATGTACAAACACAACCATTCCTCTGTCTACTGTCCCTCCGGCTGACCATCCAATATCAAAGGAGGGCCAGTCAACTTCACAAAGAGTTCTCAACCTCTGCAGGGGTCAGCCTTACTCCAAGTCCCCTGTGTAGCCTTTCTTAAAGTCTGTGTAGTCTTTCTTTAACATACATTCTAATGGGGTGGAGTTTGATGCTTTTTCTCCCATCTCCTTCCTGTTGTGGGGCAAATCACTCTCTCAATCACTTTTGCTTTAGACCAATTAGAACACTCCCCCTCATGGGAGTTTTCAGGTGCCACTTAACAACCAGAGGGTTCCTATAAGCCTGAACTCGAACTCCACAACTTATCTACTGTTTGTGGAATGGCTTCATAAGCCTTATGTGGATTGCTGCTAATCCTGGTTGGCCGCATACTTTCTCAGAGCATACAGTCCATGCTAAGACACCTGTGGGTGAAAAAGGAGGTGTCTTACTTTTCTCTCACTGCTAAGACAAAATACCTGACACTCAAAATTAAAGGCGAAAGGGTTTATTTAGCTCACAGTTTGTAGAAATTTCAGTCCATAATCGGGTGGCTCCAAGGCAGAATGGCTCATGGCAGAGGGCATCGCAGAGGAGAAACAGTTCATGGTGCCCATGTGGTAGCAAAAGCAACAAGGGACCTTAATAGTATCTCCCTGGCCCTTTTATTTTATCCAGACTAAGAGCGGGCAGCACTCACACCCTTAATCCTAGTGCCCTTGAGCCTAGCACTGCACCGTGAATCAATTCTGGCATCACACTCTAGATCTAGCCACTTCTGAAAAAGCCCCACCTCATTTCCATGAGGCTTTGTGGGCACATCTAAACACAAGCTATAACGGGACCAGTGCACCAGCTCAGTGGATTCAAATCCAAAGGCTGAGCCTAGAACAAAGGAAGGGCTATAGTTTTATACATGTTGCCAAAGAGGGGTTGGTCCACCTAACAGCATAAAACTTGTGGGCAGGCAAGCAAGTTTACAGAAGCAGAACAAACAGTTACTCAAACAGTGACAGTTTGCAACTTAGCACATCTTGGTGGCCTTGACGGGGTGAAGAGAAACAGGATGTATAAAAACAGGATGCTGTGAAACCATTACTTCTAGGAGCAAAGTTGATAGCTGACAGTAGCCACAGGGAGCGGGAAGTCCGAAGGGGAACTGCTTAGGTTGGGGAAAGCTGTTTTTCCTTCTTTTTAGGTCTTGCTTCAATTCCACATGTCATATGTATATTACTATATATGTATGAACAGAGCTGTACATATATACCATGTTATATATTACTATGCAAGTATGAACATAGCTGTAGATCTGTACCACCTGTTACATGTATATTACTATATATATGAATGTAGCTGTAGATATATACTACTTTATATGTATATTGCTATATATATGAATGTAGCTGTATTGTAGATAGGTAAGTTAAGTAGATATTTTGTAGGCAGTTAGACAGGGCCTTCCTCAAGGTCCCAGTCCTCAAGGCACCAGCCCTCCAGGAGCCAAGACAGCAAGGAGCCAACATGGAGAATAACTGAGGCACATTCACTGATTAGCATTATAAAAAGAGGAGGCACTACTTTTCCTGGGGATAGAGAGAGCAGTGATTGATATTCTAAATGGAAAATTCCTTGTTTGTGACTTGTTTTCCCATTTGATCCCCATTTAATCAATACTACCTGGGTGACTGTACTTGTAATCTTATTGGTCAGTAAGGGTTTTGCCCCACCCTTACTTACAGATTTGTCCCACTTTGTAACTGCTTCACCTCATGGCTTTGCTGTATAAAACATCTTTGAAAAGTGGGGTGGGCGGGCAACCCACTTTCCGTCCCCCTTCTGAATGCAAATTGCTTTTTTTTTTTTTGGTACCAGGGATCGAACTCAGGACCTTGAGCTTGCGAGGCAGGCGCGGTACCACTGGGCTAAATCCCCGGCCCCTTCTGTATCCCTTCTGTCTCCCTTAGAACCTTTCTTTCTCTCAATACATTTTTCCTACTCTTAACCTCTGTTGTTCTAGAATTCATTCTTCGATTTTGGAGAACAAGAACTCGCGTTTCTGATACCTAGCAGGTTTGGGAGTTGCATCTCTTCCCCTGTGTCAGCTGTACATGTACATCACGTTATATGTGTATTATATATCTTTTTTTGTTTCTGGTACCGGGGATCGAACTCAGGACCTTGCGCTTGTGAGGCAGTAGGCGGAACCACTGAACTACATCCCAGCCCGACGTTACATGTCCATTACTAGGCATACATAATGTGAGCACTTTGCTACACATGCACTCCACATACTGTACACGCGTCGGGCAGCACTGCGCACACTTCCGGCGCAGTTCTCCTTGCACACCCCTGCGCACTGACACATCCACCCGCGTGACCACACCTCGCGCCGGTGCTCTGGGCAATGATCTGACCAGTCTCCCCTTCACCCGCTCCAGCGGCTCTCGCCAGACCTGTCCTACACGCCCCTCTGCGCACGCGCTGGCTTCATCATTTTAGTCTGCTCGTCCCCTCCGGTCCTTCCGGGTAGGCCCGCCTGATCTGGCGAATTTTTTCGCGCTCACCGTCAGCGAGGGTGGAGTCCGCACTAAAACGCGCGTTCCGCGTAGGCCCCGCCCATGGGCACAGACTTCCGGCACGGCCCTCGGCCCCGCCTCACTTCCGCTTACGCTGAGGTCAGAGGTCCTGCGCAAATGGCAGCCCGCGGGTTCTTGGAGTGGTCGCGGAGAGGCGCGTCTGCGTGACAGGAGCTCAGCCCCGGCGGCAGAAGGAGCCGCAGCAGGGGCGCGTTTGAGGCGGCGGGAACCCGGGGAAGCCGGGCCGGGCGCCCAGGGATCCCCGGCGGTGGGACTCGACCCACAGCGTGCGGTGCGGGGACCGGGAATGCCCCGCGGGCCCGCCCCATGTCGCCGACCGGCTCCGAGCCCCCCAGGATGAACAGGAAAAAAGGAGACAAGGGCTTCGAGAGCCCGAGGCCCTATAAATTATAAGTATCGCTTCATCTCTCCCTGGGGCTTTGTTTTCATTAGGTCTCCTGTGGGATTGCTTGCAACTGACCCGGGAGACCCGGGGAGCCCGGTGGGAACCCCGGTGGGAACCCCGATTCCTCTCCCCGTGATGGGAAGGGCATTTGAGGGTGGAAAGTATGAATGGCAGTGCCATTTACCGGATTTAGTTCCCTGCTAGGTTAATAAGTCACTGTACTTCTTTCAGAAGAACTCTGTACTTAGAATTCTTGCTAGATTTAAAACAAGCATATTATTCTACTTTGTAGGAATTTATTTATTAGTTGTTTGTGTATTTTTTCGATACTGGATCTCTCCATGTAGTCCAGGCCACCCTTGAACTCACTGTATAGCCCTGGTTGGCCTGGAACTTGTGTTGACTCCCCTGCCTCAGCCTCCCAAGTTCTGGGATGACAGATCACTGTGCCACCGTGCCCCACTTGTAGGGTTTTTAAGTGAAAAGATTGACGTGTGATATTCAGTTCCTTTGAATATAAGCCTTATTTATCCCGGGAAGCACTTATGCTTTCATTCAATAATAGTATTTTTTCTTTTTTTTCCTATTTTTTAATATACAACTCATCAGGTTGTCTGCATCAATAACATAAATTTCCAGAGAAAATCAGTTGTGGTAAGTTTATATTCAAGAATTATAAAGAGTAATAAGGTACCTTTCATGTCACTTTATATTCTTCCAGATAACAGTATTTCAAGAATAGGCAGGAGTTAGAGTTCAGGTCTGACTTCAAGATCCTTTGGCTCTATGTGTTGCCTCAGAATTTTCATTCATACTCTCTCTTTTCTGACTAAAGTTTTATTCTTCTGATTTTATTTTGTGCAGAATGAAACGAAGCATTTTAGAGTTGTTCTTAAAACAAGAATAAGCTCATACTGAGATTTCTCTCGTGAAAAAATTAAAATTTGCATTCTTGCTCGCTTGACTTGGCTTTCAAGAGGCTGCTTTTGTGTTCTGACCTGGCTGCAGTGATTTTGGTGCCATTACTTTGCAGTGAGGTTTTGAATAGAATATTTGAGGTCTGGTACCGCCCCCCCCCCCCCCCCAGATGTATGTGTTCCTGACATAATCCACTCTGGGAAAATCATTGAGAACCTAAGTGTTTAATATACTTTTTCAGAGGTACCTATATTAAATAGGTTAAAATCTTAGAGCCAGTTTTCCTTGAAGAGCAGTATCCACTTCCCCCTCATACTTGTTGCCCATGTATATGTTTCCTTGGGATTAGCTGTAAACAGAAAAGAATAACCTTTTTTTGAGACAGTCTCACTGCTGGAGTTCAGGCTGGCCTTGAACTTACTGTGAAGCCCAGGCAGGCCTCTAACTCTTGGCAGCCTTCCAGACCTCCTGAGTGCTGGGATTATAGGCATGCACCGCCACATCTGGCAAGAATAACCTTTCTTAAAAATCATGCAGTTTTAGATGAAGCTCCTACCTTGTTCATTAAGTCCAGTCTGCTCATTTATGGAATTTCTTTGCACTATTCCTCACTGATTTGCTATTTTCCTCGTATCTCATCATGGGATACTTAGGAATAGCATTTTGTATGAATTGTGTAGGGGAGGTATGAGGGTTTTAGGAGGTTACAGTATTAATTGAGGGGAGAAATGAAGCCCTGAATAACGTTAGCGTAGTGAAAGTGGAGTAGAAGGAGTTGACATGACTGACTGAGTTGTAGTGACCATTGAGTCTGAGTCCTTAATGTGTGCTAGAAAGGCATGTGAGCCTTCCATAAATTCTGGGTGATTTAAGGCAGAGGCAGAGAGGTGCGAAGACACTCTCCAAAGGTGTATTGAGTGTTAACTCATGGAATCTTCACAGTAACGTCCCCACATAGATAATATTTTAGTCTTAACTTTCTAAAGCCGTTGTCTGAAAGAACTGCGGTTCAAGTAACTTTCCTAAGGGAGGGTAGAAGTGTTAACAGAGGAGTGAAATTACTGCCTGCCTCAGCCTGGCAGAGAGGAACCTCTGGTCAGAATGTTTTAAATCTTCTGTGGCACTGATCTCCGCATTTCCCCAGCATGTCTAGTTGCTTTGGTTCACTGTCGAGGAGCAGAGAATGGGCAGTCCAGGCATGTCTGCTTAGCCCTGACTCCATGGGACAGGGACCCAGAGTGGCTCTTTACCAGTTACTGAAATGTCTGCTGTGTGCCATGGGGTAAGGGAGGTCAGAGTCTGTCCTCCTCTTTGAGAGCGTGGGTCTGTGACCCAACTCGGGACTCTAGTCCAAGCCCTTTGTAGTCTGACGTAAGGACTGTGGTAATGTTGTGAGACTTGAGGTATGATGTCAGTTTGGAGCCAAAGTACAGTAGCTCCAGGAAGGGTTAGGTCTTTTCCTTTCCACTCCCTCCATGTACACTGTTCGGGGACTGTGACCCTGTGCAGGTCTGGGAACTGGCTGCGAGGCCGTAGGTCCTCACTGCCGCACCTTAGTCCAGTTCTCTGTCCATGTTCTTCCACTTGTCAGTCTCGTGGCTTTGATTCTACTTCTGTTCTGCTATTTTCTTCTTCCTCTTCCCTGTTGGGTTCCAGTCTGTCCAGAAATCCTTGTATTTGTGAGTAGCGAGTCCTTTTCTTTTTTTCTAACAGATGCCTTAATTTTTATCGATAGTGTGTGTGAACCTCCAGGGTGATAAAGTACACATAATTCTCACCGGTTGGCTCAGGAAGACAGTTGTGTTTGAAGTTAAGATATGTATGTGTGACTGTCTGGGCTCTTCCCTTGGGTGTAGTAAGTGTGTAGCAAGTTAGTAGAAACGGAAGGAATGTGTTCTGCAACACACCAATCTTTGTAACAAAGCTCTTATCCTTTGTTTTTACAGGGCTTTGTGGAACTGACTGTATTTCCTACAGTTACAAACTTGAATAGAATCAAGTTGAACAGCAAACAGTGTAGGATATACCGAGTAAGGGTCAACGACTTAGAGGCGGCTTTTATTTATAATGACCCGACCTTAGAAGTCTGTCACAGTGAATCAAAACAGTAAGTTGTATGCTTTAAAAGTCAACATTTTTAACAATCTTGTTGCCATTTTTCATAATCAGCTAATGTTTAATAGATTTTTCTCAGATCATTGTTAGACTCAGGATGCCCTTTTAATGTTTTTATAATCTGTTGATTTACCACTCTGCACATTTGAATCAAGTGCTTTTGGTAGTTTTCTACAACATAGTGAATTATTCTTTCTTTATACTACAATTTTAAGAAACTACTATCTAGGAACTTTAAATTTTCTTTCTCTCTTTTTTTCTTTTGGTTTTTTTCTTTTTGGTACCGGGGATTGAACTGGGGTCCTTGCGCTTGCGCAGCAGGCGGCAAAAACACTGAGCTAAATCCCCGGCCCTTTCTTTTGGTTTTTTGAGGCAGGGTCTTGCAGTGTATTCAGACTGGCTTTGAACTTCACTATTCAAGTCCAGGCTGGCCTTGAATTCACTGTGATCCTCCTGCCTCAGCCTCCCAAGTGCTGAGATTACAGTTGTGCATCTCCATGCTTGGCTAGGAGCATTAAATTTTTTAGCCATTTCCTGTTTCTAATTTTTTAACTAGTTCTTCATAAATATCAAAAGTTTTCAGGTTACAGATGTGGCTCAGTAGTACAGCACTTGGATAGCATGTGTAAAGCCCTGGGTTCAATCCTCAGTGCTGCCAAAAAACCCAAAGAATAGTAGTTTTCAGTGGCTAGAATGATCACCCTGCCGTTTAGACCAGAGACTAACCCAGAATGTTCCATAGTAGTGTTGACCACTTTAAATATCTTATCACACATTATCTGCAACACTTCAGCTATTAGAGGAAACTCATTTCTTTCAAAATTTTGATGGCATTGGGTTCTGTCACCTTCTGTGCTCTCCGTGGTTTGGGGTGCAGTGTCAAGCCTGGATTATAACCTTGTTTTAGTTAAAATGACATTTTAACAAGCATGGCATGTTTAATCTTGCTTAAGGCAACAGTTCTCAAGGTGTGCTGTGGGACAGGCGGAACCAGCCTTGCCCATAGCTGCCCACTAAACCCCTGGCAGTGGGAGCCTGCAGCTCATGTTATTGAGCCATCTGGGGGCTTGTGATGGGCTAAAACTCGAGATCTGCTGTACTGGGAAGGTTGAGAAAGAAGGCTTATTTTTAGAAAAAATGTGTTACCCTAGATAATCATTGGTTTACAAGGTGTGATCAAAAATCTAGAGTTCCCCAAAAAGATGTATCCACACTTCAGTAGTTTGCTGTCCTAATAAACTCCTGGAAGCTCATGGCTACCACTCTGAGCACCTCTTGTAATTGTAGAGGCCAAAGGTAACTTGTATTAATCTCCTGATGTCTCAATAAATTCAGTAGCAAAATATTTATACCAGTTTTTCTTTTCCTGATATATACATTTCTTGGGGGATTCTGTATGCTGAATATTTAAACTTTTAAAAATTATTACAGTGGAAGACACACTGCAGTTACCACCCCACCCACCATCATGCTTATCCCATCATTCCTATTGCTTTCTGGAGCAGTTTGGGGTGAGTGTCTGTAGTTGTGCTGTTGTGGCTGCCTCAGTGCCCCAAATCTGTTCAAAACATTTCCCTTTCATGGCCATTTTGACTTTGGGGAAGAGCCAGAAGTCTCGAAGCTTCAGATCCGGTGATGTTTCTATGAGGCTGCCTTTCCGGTGGGTGTCAGTCGGCAGCAGCATGCACTGTGTGTTTGGCCACAGCTTCCAAACCACTCACTGTGTAGAGTCTCAGACTTAGGTGATTTGAGGGGTCATGAGCTCTGACTTCGTACTGAATTGTTGAAGTCGCTGCTTTTATAGCCAGGCTTGTAGAGTTCCCGTGGAAAGGGTTGTTACGAACTCATCTCCCACAGGCGGAGAACGGTCTGTGTGGTCTTGCTGCCCAGAACTCAGAATGACCTGTCACCGTGCAGCTGCAGGGCCAGCAGACGTGGTGGGCCGCTGTGGAAGCAAAATCAACCTGTTTATCCACATGAGTTCAAACAAGTTTTCTCCCCCTAACGGGCGATGCCTTATCAAGTTAGTGTTGTAACTAGAGGAAGTCACAAGAGAGTCTTTTCCAAGGTTAGGTAAGAATTGGGAAACCTAGGTTGTTTACATTTTCCTTGCAGCTAAAGGCAGAGTCCTACTGAGCACCGCCACTTGGTAAATGCTTGATTTTTTGCTTTCCTGCCTGGCACTAGAATCTTGGTTAGAGAGCTGATACTTGTTATTTTTATTGGTGTTTATCTGTTCTCTGACTTGTTCAAAAGGGGTTTGCAATTTGTTTTAGAGTTTTATTAGACAAAAGTTTTAAAAAGTAGCTAATGAAGTTAGCATGAAGAGGAAACAATAAGTCACTGTCGTGCACCATTAAGTCTCACAATTCTGAGAGGAAAACTTCGGTTTGCTTCTGAGATGTCTGGTTGTCATAACAAAGAGGGAAACAGTATTTTTTTATGAGACTCAAAAGACACAAGACAGAAACACACCAGTTAGAAGAAATACTGCTGCTTTTCTTGGCAGTTGGGTGTGAAAGATGTCTCCCCGGGGTGACATGAGTATTTCTAAGGGACGCTTGGCGAGGCAGATGGTAAAGGTCTTGGCCTGTTCCTCTGTCATAACAGACACTAAAGTTTCCAATAAAGCTAAAACAGCTGTGGATGTTTCGAAATTAAAAACAAAACTTTGGGTTCAGTGGTCATTTGCCCTTCAGTACATCTGAGTGTCTTACAGGTAGGCCACTGCCCCGCCACATTTCTCCTTGTTTTAAAGTCCAGGACCTCTGATTTTGTTATAGCGCGCTTTACTTTTGCTTTTTTTGTTTGTTTTTTTGGTGCCGGGGATCGAACTCAGGACCTTGCGCTTGCGAGGCAGGCATGGTGCCACTGAGCTAAGTTCCCGGCCCAAGAATGCGCTTTAACCTTTGAGCTGTATGGGGATGTGTGGAAAGGAAACATTTACTTTATTTATTTATAGGAAACATTTAGATAAGGTACTAAAAGGCATTTCTTTTTCTCCAACTCACATTAGCCAACTTGTTAAATTACTTCCAACAGCTGAAAACCAGCATAGCCATGTAACATTTATAGATTTTAAAACATTTTCGGTTAATAGTTCCCCAGTAACATAACTAGTACTTGAAGTCTGTCTAGATGTATTTTATGATTGGATCTCATGTGTTATAGGTAGATTACACTGGGCTTCTGTAGCGGTTGTAGCTCTTTGGTGTTTTTTGGCCTTGTTTTGGTTTTTGTTTGTTTGCTCTGTGTCTCTCTTCTTAGTTATAAGATGGATGTAGACTTTGCCAGGAAAACGCTCTGTGGATGGGTAGCCAGCAGTGGCTGACATCTTCCCACTTCGTTTCTTCCCTCCCCCCACAGAGACTTTGCTACTTTGAGAAGACATTTTATTTTCCTTGTTGTCTCAGTTTCCCCAAATTTCTATAGTTAGTTTAGTTCCTGTCTCTTTATTTCCATCAAGAGGAAGCAATGGAAATAAGGCTGGAGATGAGTGAAGGAACTGTGCAACAGCATTGATTGTTAAAAACTCCTTTTTTTTTGCCAGGAGCAGTGGCGCGTGCCTGTGGGTACCTGAGGCTCTTGGGGACATCTAGGTATAAACCAGAACAATATCTGATATTCAGCTGTGAACAAGTTACCTTCTCTTCTTTTCTTTTCTTGGTGTTTGGGATTGAACCTGGGGCTGCGCGTGCTATATAAAGTCTACTACTCTACCCTAGTCTCTTAGCTTTTTATTTCTTAATTTCAGAGATAACTGAAAGGGAAGGATAAAAAATTTTCAGCAGCCTAATATCACATATTTGAAATTTCATTGAAAAGGCATTCTAACCTGTAGGTAAAATAGTCTTTGAAATTAATTGCTAGTGAGGATTTGGAGCAACTGGCGCTTTGGTCCGTTGTTGGAAAGATCCCGACAGCTGTTTCGGAGCATATGCAGATTCTGAGAGTTAGAACATGTGATCACTGTGTGACTCAGAGGACCCATGCCCCATGTTTATGCCACAGAAGTGAAGCTTGTGTTCCCTCAAAACCTGTGCAGCTGCTCGTAGCGGCTTCATTGTGATGAGCAGAAGTTGGAAGCAGCATAAATGTCCCTCGGCTGGTGCGAGGAGAGCACCCTGTGCACAGAGTCATGCTGCTCGGTTGTCAGAAGTGAGTCACTGACACAGGTGACACGCGACTGAATTTCAGTCTCCCCAGGTGACATTCTGTGCGCCTACTTGTGGGACAGGGGACAGCACCAGGGCCTTTTTGGGTGATGGACTGGTTGTGGTGGTGGTTGCCTGAACCTGCACATGTGGTAATATTTGTAGAACTGCGTTCTGAAAGGAAGACAGTGTGACTGACTCACTGCATGGTGACGATGGAGAGACAGGGGCTGTTCAGCCTCACTCAGCTCAGGGGTGGCCCAGCACCCCAGCCAGACCCACGCCTTGGAATTACTGACTTCAGGATGGCTTTAACCTTGTACACCTTTTCTTTTACATAATTATGGAATGGGAAAAAAATTGCTCAAATACTGAGATGTCCATTTACCTCCAGGACTGTATGCGTGTAGCTGTTATCCTGAAGAGTTGTGGAAGCCAGGCGCATTCTGTTCTGAGCGGTAGAGACAGATGGAGATGTGGAGAAATGGCCTCCGCAGCGTGAGGCCCTCTAATGTAACTGGTTCAGGCTGGAGTTAGAACAGTGCCTGAACTTTCCCTGTGCTGTGCCTGGTGGCAGGATGCAGCCACAGAGGCATCCAGAGGACGGGCTCGGTGCTGGGGACTTTCGTCCTGCTCTCTATAACTAATTCCAGTGAGGAGATGTCTGTGATATGTGCACCCAGGAAGTAAATCGGAAGTAGATGAACGAATGCAGGGTTTCCTGTTTGCATCCTGTGGGCGATCAGACCGAGTGATGGTGGAGCAGACATCCCAGTGCTTCCTGTCAGCGAGCTCTTGAGAGGGCACCCAGAGCTGCTCCTGCCACTGAGCCAACTTGGTCCTGCCCCAGCAGTGGTGGTGGGACTGGCATTGCTCACTTGCTTAGACCTCTTTATTTTTGTCAAATTGGAAAGCTTATTGAACCCTTTTGAATTTCTGCCAGATAGGTAAAGAATACTTATTTTTCAGTTTTACTGAAAACTGAAAAATATGTATTGCTTGCATTTTATTGGAAAAAAATGTATTGCTTGCATTTTATTGGAAAAGTACAGTGACTTTGAGATTCCAAAATGAATGAACAGAAGATGATCATAATAATAACAGTCACACTGGGGAGCAGAACATGCATGAGCCACTGCATTTATAGTTCATAGTTTCTAACATGCTGAGTAGAGCAGTAGTTACTTGGCTCAAAAGTATGCTTACGGGGCCAGGGATTTAGCTCAGTGGTTCTGCCGCCTGCCTCACAAGCCCAAGGTCCCGAGTTCGATCCCCAGTGTCCCCCCCCCGCCCCAAAAGTATGCTTACACATTTTGTAACAAGGTACAATGCTTACAGACAATTGATGTCAAGTGATACTGAGAAGAACTCTTGGTTGGGCTGGGGATTTAGCTCAGTGGTACTGTGCCGGCCTTCCAAGTGTAAGGTCCTGAGTTTGATCCCCGGTACAGGAAAAAAAAAAAAAGAGAGAGAGAGAGAACTCTTGGTGAAATGCAAGGCTTGTTGTAATTAAATGTTGGCTTTCCCCCACAGGAGAAATCTCAATTATTTTTCCAACGCATATGCAGCTGCGGTCAGTGCGGTGGATCCCGACGCAGGGAATGGAGAGCTTTGCATTAAGGTTCCGTCCGAGCTGTGGAAACACGTGGATGGTAAAGCACCAGAACACCCTGCCTGTCTGTACACCATGCAGATTCAGGGCCCAGATAGTTGTACATAGAAAGGGATGGAAGCTCAATCGCCAGGTCAGGAGTGGAAACAGAGAAGGGGCTGGGAACTCTCTCTTCTTAGGATGCCTGGCTGACAGGAAGATACTGCTCAGCTGACTCACTGCTGGCGTGGGGGTTTGTGGATGCCAGGCCAGCGCCCCACCCCTGAGCTACATCTGGCCAATTGCCCTGCTGTTTTCAAAGTGAAAGACGTTTTTAAAAACCATGTGGATAGGCCGGGGATTTAGCTCAGTGGTTTTGCCACCTGCCTTGCAAGCACAGGGTCCCGAGTTTGATCTCTGCTACCAAAAAAAAAAATCTTACAGATGGGACAGTTTATTAGGCTCCAAGCACCTGTGCAGTGTCGAGTCAGTTAGGGTGGTGGCATCGTAAGGTGGAAAGAGTCCTGAGGAGTCATCCTGCCCCGCTCCAGCTCTGTCAGCTGAGTCCTGGTGGGTGGAGCTGGAGACCAGGCTCCCAGCTGCTTTCTTCCTGCTCTCAGGCAGATCCTTCCCAAATCTTCATTTCCTCTCCTGTCAAGTTGTGGCCACTGCAGGCTTGTGTGACAGCTCTGTCTGCCCTCATTTTATGGAAATTAGCCAAGATAAGGCAAAAGTTTGTTTTTGCTTTCTGTATCTGTGGGCTGGGGGAGGATGTGGAGAGGGATTAGCCAATTTAGGGCAAGGTCTAGGAGTTCAGCACTGTGAGTTCAGATGATTATAATATTTGGGGGCAATTAAATATTTTTAAATTTTAATAAAAGCAACATTTTTTTTTCCAATTGTTTGCTTTATTTGAGACAGGTTCTCGCTATGTAGCCCAGGCTAGCCTTAAACTCAGAGCAATCCTCCTGTCTCAGCCTCCCAAGTGCTGGGATTACAGGTGTGCACCATCATGTCTGGTGCAACATGTGCTTAATATACATAAATCATAATGCAAATTCTTGGGAGTCCTAACTAACCTCATCCCTCTTTTAACTCCAAAGTCATCTAAAGCTAACACTTTCCAGGGAAATGTTAAAGAAGATGAAACTGGAAAAGTAAACTTTGGGGTGGGATGAGAAAGCCTTAAGTGTAGGTGAGGGAATCTGACACTCAGCTGAGAGCGGGGAGAGCCACGAGCAGAGCTGCCCTGTGAGGAACCGCAGGTGCGGATTGGGTTGGCAGAGGGGAGCAGGGACATGGGCGGAGGCAGCTGCGGAGCTGGCACAGGGCGAGAGGACAGAAGGGCGGCATGAGCAGGGAGGTCTGTAACGTGAAATTCAGGCTTTGCGTCCCAGTGTACACTCTCTGTGTGCCGTACAGGCGGGCCAGGGTTACTGTTCATGCAGCAGCGGATGTGGTTCTCTGTTGCAGAGTTGAAGGTCCTGAAGATACACATTAACTTCTCCCTGGATCAGCCAAAAGGAGGCCTGCACTTTGTGGTTCCCAGTGTAGAGGGGAGCATGGCCGAGAGGGGTGCGCACGTCTTCTCCTGTGGCTACCAGAATTCCACAAGGTGCGTCGTGAGCTCTTGGCTCTTTCAATTAACTTTATCTCTTCAGTGCATTTGCTCTGGGCACATACATGCTGTACATTCATTTAGTATAAATTCAAAGTGTAAGTTTGATTTTCCCAAACTCACACCGCTTCTAAATCTTTCTCCCTTACTCTCCTTAGTCTGTCTTCCTCTTCTGTCCTTTCACATGTAGTGTTGTGAAATAACCATCTTACTTGATTCTTTCTTTTCTTTAATTTCATATTGAAGTAAAACGTGTACAGGAAATGGCACAAATTCTAAGCTCAATAAATTTTTCATAAGCGAACAAACCCATTTGCTATGCAGTCAAATAGGACAGTATTTGTAGCATCTCCGAGCTCTCCTCCCACTCACTGCATTTGCTGTTCCCCGTGGCATTCTCCGTCCAGCTTCCCTCTTTTCTACAGTGCCACCGGTTATTATACGTGCTTTTGAGCTTTATATAAAGGGAATCATATGTGTTTGGCTCTTTATGTCTGGCTTGTTTTGTTCAACCTTGAAAGTGAGATTTACCCACATTTTTTTGTGCAGTAGTACATACTTTTATTCATTCTCATAGCCCTGTAGTTCATTACCTACTACTGAAATATTTTTAGTATGTGTACTCTCCTCAGATTATTGCCTTCGATAAACCAAGAATAATGTCTTACGCTTATGTTTCCTTAACAAATACAGTACTGACCCAGGCACGTGGTAGGACTGACCTAAATTTTTTTTTTTCTTATTTTTTCCCCATTCCTAGCCCTCCCTTCACCCCCTCCACCCTTCCCTATTTACAAAGACTTTATTTCCATTTTTTCCATTTCTCATCATTTTTCCTTTCCCTTCTTTCCTTTCCCCTGCCTCTCCCACTACCCCTACCCCTTTGGACCTTTTCTTCCTATTTTACATTATCGATTATTCATTCTAATCATTGGCACATTTTAGGTATACAATATAATGACATTCATCACTGGAAATTGGCACCTTGACATAGTCTCTCTTGGTTCTTATTTTTCACCCTTGCCCAGCCCTCCCTTCAACCCCTCCAGTCTTCCCTATTTACAAAGATTTTGTTCCTATTTTTCCATTTTCTCATATTAATCCCATTCCCTTCTATCCTTTCCCCTAACCCTCCCACTTCCTTCCCCTTTGCCCCTTTTCTTCCTATTTCACATTACCTATTATACATTTTGGACTAACCTAAATTAATAGAAAGCCAAAAATAAGTTTTATATCTGGCTTTGTCAGCATTCAGTTTGAATTTATACAGTGTGTCATATATGCCAAAAAAAAGCAGTTTCCTAACTTATGGAATAGATTCTGAATATTAAATATATTTTAAAACTTTTTTTAGTTTTCTGACATGAATGCTATGAAAAATCTGGCCAGTGTGAATATACAAATTAAAACTTTTTAATTTAACTCTAGCAATCTAAGAATCAATTAATTTTCTAGGGTTTAACCTGGAGATACCACTGATGTATTTTTTGAATATTACCAAATGATCCTTGAAGCAGATTTTTTTATTTTTATGTATTTATTTTTAAAGTAGGAAGATATTGATAGGAAAGCCCCTGAGGGCGGGAGGGGTCCCGGGTGGGCAGCCCAGAAGCGGAGTTTTAATAAGATTTTTCAAGATGCAAAGGGAAAAGTTTCAGTGGCCAGATAGAAGAAATGTTGCGATAACTTAGAGGAGCACACTTTTGGTATATTTTCCACGCTGTCCTCTTGTTGTTAGGTTTTGGTTTCCTTGTGTGGACTCATACTCGGAGCTGTGCACGTGGAAGTTAGAGTTCACGGTAGATGCCGCCATGGTGGCTGTCTCCAGCGGAGACCTGGTGGAGACGGTGTACACCCATGACATGAGGAAGAAGACCTTCCACTACATGCTCTCCATCCCCACCGCAGCGTCCAACATCTCTCTGGCCATTGGCCCTTTCGAGATTCTCGTGGACCCTTACATGCACGAGGTAAACCTCAGCCCCTCCCTCACCCACTCTGCCCTCTCACTGACAGGAAGAAGTGGTCACAACACACTTCACTTCCGACTCTGACAGCATGTGTTCAAGTCACACTCAGCGACGTGCCTTCTCCGGTGAGCTTGTTTCAGAGGGAGAGAAGCCTTCCTGAATTTGCTGACCGGAATTCTAACCCTGCCTCAAGCTTTTCTCTTTGCCTCTGAATATGTTGATGTGGAAATAAAACTTGGTCTGTCATTTTGACATTGTAGTTTTTCAGACACCAGAGATACGGGACAACCATGCACATAAACTGTGCTAAGGAAAAAAATGACATAGGTAATGAATAGAATTAATTGCAGAAATCATCTCTGCTCTAAGGAGGATGCATCAGATCTGTTTTGAAATGCTAAGCACCATGTTGAAAAACTTTGAAATTTAAAGACATTCAAAGTAGTTTACCTATGTTTCTGAAATTACAGCACATTTTGTCCTGTCCCTGACTCTTGTTTGGGTTGGCACTTTCTCCGAACCTGTCAGACCTCTCTCCCATTCACAGCGATCTCTTCGCTCCCCGTCTGTGGGCAGTGTTACTGTGCGTTCTCCCCACAGTGGTCTGTGTCACCGTCACAGTCCCTCAGCACAGTCGCTATAGGAGACAGTGTGTGTCGCTTGTGTGTCCGGGTGGGATAGAATTTAAGAAGAAAGCCAGGACTGCTGTTTATATCTCCTGACTCCCAGTAAGTTCCCTGCAGCTCTCAGCGTGTGGCTGAGGTAAGGAAGGAGTAAATGTGACACTAGGACTGGCTGTGAGTGCAGGGTGGACAGAAGCTCTGTTTGAGCGCTTGCCTAGCATGTGGAAGGCCCTGGGTTCCATCCTTAGCACCATAAAGAAACAAACAAAACAGGGAACGAAAAATGACTAAGAGGACTGTAAAATGTACACTGTCTACTAGGTTAGATACAGAAGAGGTGGAACTACAGTAAGCCTGGGAAATTTAATCTTGCTATGTGTGCGTATCAGAAGACATTTTCATGTGGAACCAAAATTATTTTCAGTGTGTTTAATTATTGCACAGTCTTATAATCCACCATGCATTTAATTGTTCAGTACAGTGAATATTTGTTTTGTAAAGACAAGTAAAAGTAATCACTAATTTTACAACAGCATTTTCTTATGGATTATATAAACGTTTGTAATTAAGATATTTAGGAAGTTTAAAATACTAATATAATTAAGATATTTAGGATAGTCCCTGCCCTTCATTTTCAGGTTACTCATTTCTGTTTGCCCCAACTTCTTCCACTGCTTAAACACACCACATCCTACCTCCACGAAGTCTTTGAGTTTTACGAGGAGATCCTCACATGTCGGTACCCGTACTCCTGTTTCAAGACCGTGTTCATTGACGAGGCTTATGTTGAAGTGGCTGCGTATGCATCCATGAGCATTTTCAGGTTGGTGTCTCTTCAAGTTTGAAATGCCTAAATTGGAATCATGAGAGGAGGAAAAGTTGCTCATTTTATGATCAGTTTTAAGACGAACTTTTTCCTTTAATTTTGATGTAATTGACTTTGTAAAAACAAAACAAAACATAAAAGACTAGTGTTTTTAAACTTTAAATATCTAGAGAAACATGAAGAAAATTTTGAAGTAACTCAAAACATAATATTCTCATCCAGAATTAACTGATATTAGCATTTTCCATATTTGTTTTGCTGTCTTTCCTATTTATAAATTTTTTTAAATGTGTGTTATTATATAGATAACTAATAAGGCTATTTTTCTGACACTATTTAAAAATTTATTGATGTAATCAGAAATTTTGTGGGAAAAAACAGACTGTGAGAGTATTTCCTTTTTGGTGGTACTGGGGTTTGAACCCAGTGCCTCATACATGCTCAGTAAGCACTGAACCGCTGAGTTGCCACCCCAGCCCTTTTTATTTTTGTTTTTTAATTTTTTTTTTGGTACCTGGGATTGAACTCAGGACCTTGTGCTTTCGAGACAGGTGGCAGCACCACTGAGCTAAATCTTCGGCCTCTTGTTTTTTAATTTTGAGCCCAGCTCTCACTGAGTTGCCCAGGTGGCCTTGAATTTGTAGTCCTCCTGCCTCAGCCTCCCCAGTAGCCCGGATTATGGACATACAGGTGTGTTCTACCCACCCCCTCCACCCCTGGTCCCCTTCCCCGTATCTCTTCATTCTTTGGAAAGTTCCAAGTCTGGGTTTTGTAGAAGGTGGAGACATAATACTGCCCCTGCGTTCTCCAGAGTGTTGTTAGAAGAGTCCACTGGGGTAGTGTACTTCACAGTAAATGATAGAGCAAAAAAGTTCATAGTAGTTGTTAAGATTTTTAGAATTCTGGACACCACGTGCCAGTAGATCAGTGTCTTGCTAACGGCCCAGCTTCTGCTCCACCACCCCAAAGTTCTCAGTGTTTCCATGGTGCTCAGTGATGACTTTGTCTTCCTTGCTGTACTCAGAAGTTGCTGAGATTATGACCCGAATTCCAGCAGAAGGTGGGAACGTTAGGAAGCTCTTTGGAAGCCTCTTCCGATTTCTGTCTTTTCTGTCTACCTTAAATTCCATTATTTTAACAGTGTGCTTGTTTTCTTGACTGAATAATGATGTATTTCTTAGCTATAATTAGTTCCCCGCCCTGTAAATTGCAGCACAAATCTCCTGCACAGTGCCATGATCATCGATGAGACCCCTCTGACAAGGCGCTGCCTGGCCCAGGCCTTGGCCCAGCAGTTTTTCGGATGTTTCATATCTAGAATGTCTTGGTGAGTGAGTCATTCCCAAGGTCAAAGCTACCGAGAAAAATCCACAGAAGCATACTTTTATTTTCTTTTCCTTCGGTGGGAGCTGACCTTAGCCCTAGTTGCAGATAGCTAATTTGAAAAACAATGCTCTATATATATCTAAAAAAGAAGAGTATGAGTGTCATCCTAACTTTGGCCATAAAAACAGAATAGTTACTTCTGTGATTTACCATAAAAATCAGGTAAAAATTCCGATAAAATAATCTGCTAGAACTGCACGAACACTGTAGGTACACAGCTTCAATGTTAGAAAAGGGATTGCAGTTCCAATGTCAGTGTGCAGAGCAGCTGGAGTATTCAGGGTCCTGTGGAAGCCGGCTCATTCTCCGCAGTAGCGATAATGATACGGGGATTTGCTTGCTTGTTTCGCTTGAGATGAACTTAAAGAAATACACAGGACTCCCTTGAGGTTATAATTTCTCTCTCTTTTTTTAAGGTATATATAATTTTTTTTTTTTTGGTACCGGGGATTGAACTCAGGTCCTTGCGCTTGCGAGGCAGGGGGCAGAACCACTGAGCTAAATCCCCAGCCCCTCTCTCTCTTTTTTTTTTCGGTACTGGGGATCCAACTCAGGACCTTGTGCTTGTGATACAGACACGGTGCCACTGAGCTAAATCCCCAGCCCTTAGGGTTATAATTTCTAATGTGAATACCTAATACCGGTGGTGGTGAACCTATGGCATGCACGCCACAGCGGGCACACTGAGTCCTCTCTGTGGGCACTCAAGCCAAGTTACCCAGCAGCCAAGCATAGGAAAACAGTTGCTTTTTCTAAACTAAAACCTCAGTATTCAGGTTAAATGCAGTGTCGACACTTTGCGATAAGTAAAGTCTCTGAAAGGTTCGCCATCACTGCTTTATACTAGCTAGCATATAGATCTTAGCTGCATTTTCATCATCCAGAAAGGACAGCTCCTTGATGTATGATTTCCTTTAGATTATACAACTATCAGAGCAGAGCTTGGAACACAGGCACAGGTGTGGCTAGACGGAAGATGACAGTACGAATGAGTACGTGAGTGAATGGTGCCAATGGCCTTTCTCCAGAGAAACGGAAAACTGCAGTAACAGAGCGGTAGGCTCTGGCATCTGTTGGAGTTGACACGCAGGACTGGCAGTGCTGGCGCCAGCAGTGCAGACCATGCGAGCAGGGTTGGCAGGAGAGGCAGCATGTGCCTTGTGCATTAGCCTTGGTGGTGGCTCCATCTGACTCAGTTACAGAGGATCCCAGGGTGCGGACACACAGGCTGGGCCCGGCTCACCGATTGCTGGAGGGAGGTACATGCAGGACCTACTCCTGTGTTCTCCCTGCCTCGTGCAGGAGTCTTTGTGGCCACGAGGTGGTCAGGGCACTCGGGGTAGCTCCAAGGTAGAGTGCTGGGACACGGAGCTAGGGTTGGATCCCAGTGCTGCACACATAAATAAGTAAAGTTTATATTTTGAATTTTTGCTTAGGTCTGATGAATGGGTGCTGAAGGGAATTTCAGGCTATATTTATGGACTTTGGATGAAAAAAACTTTTGGTGTGAATGAGTACCGCCACTGGATCAAAGAGGTAATTACAGCCATGTCTGTTGTCCACTCCTTAGTCACTGCAGTCTGTCAGCACTTTCCTGATTTCTGAGTCTCTTGTCCTTCCTTCCTTCCTTCCTTTCTTTGCGGTATCGGCTATCAAACTCAGGACCCTGTGCATTCGAGGCACATGCAGTGCCACTGAGCTAAATCCCCCACCCCTCTTGTCCTTTCTTTCTTTTGGTACCGGGGATCGAACTTGGGTCCTTGTGCCTGCACAGCAGGTGGCAAAACCACTGAGCTAAATCCCCAGCCCTTGTCCTTTCTGTTTAATCGCTATAAAATAATTTCCAAATGTCACTTGAAAAATCCCTGTTTTTCCTTATAAAATCCGAATTACTGGCAAAGACAAGCAATGTTTTCTGTATTTCCCATGGTCAGTGTGGCCCCTGAAGGCTTTCCTTGCCCCGAGGAAGGGAGCAGTTGCATGCTGGACTTCTGTGTCCTTAGCTGTGTCCCCATGCTCAGCTCTCCTTTGCTGCCTGCCAGGCTTCCTCAGTGCACAGAGCTGTGCGTGGGAGGAGAGCTGGCGTTTCTCCCTCACGCTCTGGGCTTGTGCCGAAGCACACCAGCACGCCTGGGCTCTGCGAGGCCCTTTGCTGGGAGAGCTGCTTCTTATATGCTGGGAGCCCTTCAGTGTGTTTGTGTTCGCCATCATCGCCACCTCTTTTTCTATCATTTAAAGATTTGGCTAAAAAAATTACAATCCACTGTGTGTTGCATACCTCATTCTGGCCCCACGTATGGCCATTTAATCATTCCCTGCTTAGATTTCTTCTACGTGGAAAACTCCCAGCTTTAATGTCCCCATTAAACGGACCCCTCTGTCTTTCCCTTTTCTTACTTGTACATATATATTGTTTGTTGTATGATTCCATTTACTTCAAATGCCCAGAATAGACAAATTCGTAGACAGAAACTGGATCAGGGATTCATTAGGGATGAGGGCTGTGGCAGTGAGGAATGAGGAATGTGACAGTTGGTCTGCAGAGGTTCTTTTTTAGGGGCCTAAAAATACTCTAGAATTTGGCTGTGATGGCTGCAAACCTGTGAATAAACCGAAGACCAGAATTGTACACTTCAAACAGGTTAATTTTACGGTATGTGAACTACATTTTAAGTCCCTCATGTGTGCCCTCCGGGGAACTTATTTGTATAGTTTTACCATCCAGACACGAATCGAGCCGAAAAGTTAAGCAACTAGAACTGTTAAAGGATGCAGACATCCAGAGCTGTCAGAACCCACTCTTCATTCCAGAAGAGGCAAGCATGCCCTCCTGCTTCCGGGTGTGGGGCACTGTTATGCTCAGCCACGGCTCCTAACGCAGAAGCATGGCGTGGAGGAGCTGACCGGGTCCAGTACACACTGGAGAGCAGGACCCGATGGGCAGACAAGGCTTTTCACTGCTTCATCACGCTGGTGCGCTTCCACATTGCTTCTGTATATTTAAACCAATCATGAGTTTCTAGCACAATTGTGCTTTGTCTGTTTTAAGAGAAGCCTGGAGAAATTTAAACATGGTGGGTTCCTGACATCATTTCTCCCAAGTCCCTAGGAGCGAGTCCCCAGGAAAGCAGAAGCAGTGTCAGGAAACAGTCGGAGCCAAGCATGCAGAGCAGAAGGCCGCCAGCCTTTTGGCAGCAGCCAGCCGTGCACTGGCTGTCTTCATAGGGCCACAAACTCTTCTCCTGACGCTCATCTTAGGAAATTTACAACTGACTCCAGGAATGAGAATCCTACAGTTGGCTTCTAAAATTTGGTGTATAAAAGTTTGTACTGACTTCTGTTTTTGAATCTTTTCTAGGAGTTGGATAAAATAGTGGCATACGAACTGAAAACGGGTGGAGTTTTGCTGCATCCCATATTTGGTGGAGGAAAAGAGAAGGATAAGTATGTTGTTGTTCAGAGGTGGTGTCACAAAATGTGTTTCATGGGGCCACTTGTGTTTGTCAAGGCACACACAAGGCCAGAGAAGTAACAACACTGCAGAAATGGTGACCTCATCACTGGTCATTTTCTCACCGCTCCTTCATTGGTTTACTGTTTTTCATGTATGATGCTGTGAGTGGATTTAAACTTAAGAAGACTTAAAACTGAAGGATTTCTGTTTTCTGTGTTCATATCCCCATGCCACTGTGTCCTACTATTCTCATTGAAGTTTAAGAATAATAAAAAGGCGGACATGGTGGTGCATGCCTATAACCTAGCACTCTGGGAGGCTGAGGCTGGAGGGTCACAATTTCGAGCCAGCCCGGGCAGCTTAGCAACTTGCACTGTCTCAAAAAGATTAAAAAGAAGGGCCAAGAATTTAGCTCAGCACAAAGGCCCTGGCTTCCACCGAACCAGGGTAGATAGGTAGGTAGGTAGATAGATGATAGATAGGTAGATAATATACTTTGTTTCTGTATCACTGATGAAGTCTGAGTGTGTAATTTCGGCATCATGACACCCTAAAGGACTATGGGTCGAATTGGATGGAAAGTTTTTTCTCTGTTTTCCCATCACTTCATGACTTAGCAGATTTCTTGGTTCACCCTCTGTATTTGTCACTACCTCGAGGTGGCTGCTGGTTCCTGTTACGTGATGCATTTGTTAGTGTGCCGTGATGTTTATCTTATGCTAGCTGTAGCTCATTGGTGTTAGTTTCCCTGGCAACCCTGTGTGATTTAGTCATGAAAAGCAGTTTTTCCCAGGGACCTGTGGTTCCTACCAGCTGGGCGGCAAGGCGTGTGGGATTGTGTCGTGGGATTGCTGCCTGCTGCTCCTCTCCGAGGCTGCTGCTGCAGCTCCCAGCATAGAGCTAGACTAGAGCGTCCCTGTGCATTGCTATTTACCCTGAGTGCGTGGCCCCGATGCTGCTCATCTTTTTATTATATTTTCCATTCTAAGGTTTCTCTATGAAAGCACTTACACATGCTCCTTGAAGAAATGCCAGACAATTTAAGAAGCATGTGGACTGAAGAAAAGACGCTATTTATTTGTTTTGTTTTTTTCTTTCTTTCTTTTTGAGACAGGGTCTTGCTCTGTAAATCAGGCTGGCCTTGAACTTACTGTGTAGCCTAGGCAGACCTCAAACTTGTAGCAATCCTCCCGCCTCAGCCTCTTTGAGTGCTACGATTTCAGGCGTGCACCACCATGCCCAACCAAAAGAGCCTTGTTTAGCCCTTTTTCACTGTGATTGCAACTTGGTTTACCGTCCCATCCACCTTTACATTATTTCTGGGCCAGGCACGGTGGCATGTGCCTGTCACCACAGCACCCTGGAGGTGGAGCCAGCAGGATTGTCTGGAGTTCATGGCTAGCCTGGGCCAACCACCAGGACCCTGTCTCAAAAAGCCAAATGAATGAATAAATAATTTGCCTTTATTTATGTGTATTTGGCATTTAAGAAATATAATGCAATCATATAAATATATTTTCTTTGTTTGTTCATTTGTTTTTGGTACCGGGGATCAAACTCGGGTCCTTGTGCTCACGCAGCAGGTGAGGAAACCACTGAGCTAAATCCCTGGCCCATATAAATATATTTTTAAAATCAATGACAAGCATTCCATGTGACTACATAAATTTACTTCATTCCTTTTAAGTGCTGCATAATATTCCCTCTTACCTTGGTGTTTATTTAACCTTTTTCTCATTAGTATTCATTGCTAAAGCCTATAAGCTCCTAATACCTTAAGTTTGGAAGTAATAAGTGAGATATAAAAATCATTTCACAAATACTGGGTTGTTAAAGTACTTTAAATCGTACTATGCTGTGTTTAAGGATATGCAGTACAGCGTGACTTAGTTGATGTTGCTGTAACTAAATACCATAGAATGGTTAATTTATAAGCAGTAGGGATGTGTTTCACATGGCTGTTAGCTCTGTAGAAGCGGATGTCCAGGTTAGGGCCTGGGAGGGGAGCAGCCTGTGGTGCAGGGATGGGAGGGGAGAGGGCGCCCTCCACCTGAGCCCTTCCTGAGGGTGGGGTCTGCGTGGCTCCACCCTCCCACCGATGTCACCCCTTGGTCCTGTCCCGCAGTGAGAGAGAGCTGGGTGAAGTTGAGGGGAAGCAGAGCGCCGCACTCCTCACCCAGTGATTGTGGGAGTCTAGCGTGGCGCGGTTTTGAAAGGTCCTGGTACCAGTCAGGACTTCAGAATGGGCCAGTTTTAGATTCAGCAGGGGTCCTCGGGGCCTGTGGTTACAGAGACCTTCTGCTCCTCGGCCTTTACTTTGCAGAGACGCTTGGAGCATATGATAGGTACTCAGACTGTGTTCCGTGCATTCGTGAGAAGTGTACGATTTAGATGTTCATATATGTCATAAGTCCTTTTTAGACTGTCTCTTTCTCTTCCTGGTGATCTTTTTCCTCATATCAAAATCTTTTTACCTAGTTATTTTGGTCTTTATGTCCTGGATTTTGTATTTTTCATTAGGAAAAATTTTCTTCAGGATTGTGAAGTAAAACAGTTTGCTATGAAATAAAAGTGTTTTCTTTCAGTACTTCCACAGTTGTTTATTTTTTATTTTTTTGGTTCCAGGGACCAAACTCAGTACCTTCCTTGTGCTTGCGAGGCAGGTGCAGTGCCACTGAGCTCAATCCCCAGCTCTCCATCATTGTTTTTGCTTATTTCTTTTAGATACCTAATTTATCGTATTTTTATGTGTGCTTTAGCATTGGGTTATTGGTTAGACTGCAGTGATTTTATTGGTGGGTGGGGAGAGAATTTAAATATACACAGTGTTGTGTCTTCCTGTTCGGGAGCTTGATATGTGTTTCCATTTATTCAGGTTTTCCTTTGTGTCCCTTAGTAAATCTTCATAATCTTCTTCCAGTTTTAAGGTTTCATAGTAATAAGGAAATTACAGATGAGGTGTTTTTTTTTCCCCTTTGGTACTGGGGATCAAACTCAGGACCTTGCGCTTGTGAGGCAGGCACCGTGCCACTGAGCTAAATCCTCAGCCCTGGGGTTTTTGTTATGTTATCTTGCTACATCCATGAAATTTCTTGCTCATTTAACAGTCCAGTTTTGTTAAGAAAGTCTGCTGTTTTCTTTTGTAGTCCAGCGTCCCATCTGCACTTCTCCATAAAGCATCCACATACGCTGTCCTGGGAATACTACACTATGTTCCAGTGTAAAGCTCACCTTGTGATGCGGTTGATTGAGAACAGGATCAGCATGGAATTCATGCTCCAAGTAAGCATGGAGGGTGGGAGCTCCACAGAGGTGATGAAGGTGGGTCTAAGGTCTGTGTGTGCAGCCGTGTGCCCCCGGGGCAGCCTCTGCTTTGAATCTGTGTTTCCTCAAGTGTGGAGGGGCTGTCACACCCGACCCATGGAGTGATTGTGATTGTCATGACGATGGGAGTGAGCATGAAAGTAAACCCATTATTTATCCACAGTCTTGTGTTCACAATGCTTAGCACTTTAGGGTAGAATTCCATGTAGAGATGTTTTCAATAAAGAAAAGACAGACCAATCTGACAGGCATCTGTTTTTACCTGTTGCTAAATTTTGCCGTATTTTAAAACACATTTTAGTGTAAGTAGTTCTTGATACAGCAGGTGAGGGAGTAGAAGTAAGATAGTACATTGTAAATACTCGGCTACTGTCCCGTGATAGCACCGTTAGAGGCAGTGAAAGCTTGCATAGGGTTTGTGAAGAGCACTGGCCTGGAGGTGTGGCTCGGTGGGAGAAGCCTGGCGCAGCACGGTGAGGCCTTGTGCTCCGCGCCGGCGCCACCAGGATAAGTACACAGAGCACCGGAAGTTTGCTTGACGTGAAGTGTAGTCAGTCCTCCCGTGCTTCCCCTTCCCCTCGCATGTGGATAGGAGAGTGAGAAGATGGTCTGTGGGAGCCGCTCCCCTTTTCAGTCACATTTAATTCTCATTAAATTAGTGCAGTGCTGGGTCAAGCCCCGAGGTCTCACTGTGCCTGGCAGGTGCTGTCACAGCTACACCCCAGGTTCCCCACTCCCACTCAGCTTTACTCAGAAAAAGATCACACAGATATTGCACACCTAAGACAGTATTAGGCTTCTGCTGACTGCTTTTAACTTACAGCACAGTGAGCTATGGGTATTATGTAGTGTTCTAATTCTTAATAGAATGTTCTCTGTCTAGGACATCATTAACATCTGGTAATGTTTGTGTGAAGAATGCTTTAAATCTTTGCATGTCTCTGTTGCTTCTGATGTTTAACTAGAACCATTTATGTAGTAAGATAGTTGACTACAGTAAAGTTAAAGTGCAGAACAGGCATCATGCACAGCCGGAAGCAATGTGTCAGATGAGCTTACTAACTGATGCTGTCGCCCATACAGGTTTTCAATAAGCTGCTCAGTCTGGCCAGCACTGCTTCATCCCAGAAGTTCCAGTCACATATGTGGAGTCAGATGTTGGTTTCCACATCTGGATTTTTGAAATCTATTTCAAATGTCTCTGGCAAGGACATCCAGCCCTTAATAAAACAGTGGGTGTATCCTTTCTGATAGCAGCTCGACAGAGTGGGGAAGGGTATTGTACATGTGAGGTATGTGAGGGCCATCAGGGATTTGCGGAGCTGAGTGGAGTATAAAGTGACTATTTCTAAAATGTAGTGGGAACAACCAAGCCGCAAATCATGTCCTCTGCAGCATGTACTGATCACTGGAGCACATGAACAGAAACATGCGTGTTTGTGTGTATAGAATCTAGCACGTCCTGAAGTCTCTTTGACTGTGAGTGAAGGGGTGGCCCAGGGGTGGGTGGGTTAGCGGCCCCTTCCAGACACACGCCACACGAGGGGTGTCTTGAAGCCTCACGATTGGTGAGCAGCAGGCTGCTTTTTCCTCTTCCAAAATGCAGATTTTTTCAGTGTTTCAGAAATTTTTTTTAAATCTGGGGAAACATTTTTGACAAGAATGTTGAGTACTCTGCCCACTGGTGAGAACGAAGTGCATTCAGGCTGTGAACTGGGGGATAGAGTCGAAAATGACACACACCGGCATGCATCACTTGTTTGGTGTAGTCAGGTCCATTTCGGTGTGGAGATTTCCTTCACAGTTCTCCAGAGACCAGAGCGGAGTGGTGAAATTCTATGGAAGTTTCGCATTTAATAGAAAACGAAATGTCTTAGAATTAGAAATCAAGCAGGATTACACATCTCCTGGAACTCAGAAATACGTGGTAGGTGTTTTTTTGTTTGTTTGTTTGTTTGTTTTGGGTTTTTTTTGTACCGGGGATCGATCTCAGGTCCTTCTGCTTGTGAGGCAGGTGACAGGTAGGTGTTTTTTCCAAACAGCCTTCGCTCTCTCCCCAGTCTCTGTGTAGGGGGGCCTGGGGGTGAGGTTCCGGTTAGCGGTTTCATGAGGTTTCTCTGCAGAGGATAAATGGAGAAAATGTCACATGTCGGCAAAGGGAAGAGGGCTACCGGCGGAGACGTGCGCTCTCCTCCCACTGGGCTCTTCTGTGTGGCAGATGCGCGTTTGCAGTGTTAGTCTGGCCCCGCCACGCGTGTGTCTGTACAGAGTACACATGTTGCTCTTCTCTGGCACTGTACTTGTGAGCAGTGTGCTTTCTGTTTTAGGGACCACTTAAAGTGACGGTGCAGGAGTTGGATGGATCCTTCAACCACACACTGCAGATTGAAGAGAACAGCCTGAAGCACGATATTCCCTGCCACTCCAAGAGCAGAAGGTAGGTACCGAGTGGTGACTGCATCCTGAAGCTTGGACCACACACCCAGAGGCCGAGATGCCCAGATGAAAGTCCTGCTGTACCTCACACTTCTAGGAAGGAGCACATTGTCTAGAACCTTTTCTCTTCGGTTTTACTTCACGTTAGCATTACTGAATGTTCTTTGTTTGCTTTCCAGTCCTGGTGACATTTTTAAGATTCTGTCATTACTTTTTTAAATTTAGATTTGAGGTTCTTGGTTTTTGGAAAGGGAGCAAAAAGGAGAGAAGTATGGAAGTTGCAGAATTTAGAGCTAGGAAACATTCAAGGCAAGTACCTTAGTTTCATTCCTGGTCTGTTTTCATTTTGGGAGGAAATTGGGGAAAGATGAAGGTAAGCAGTGCACATGTCATGCAGAGCCCTGACAGCGTGCTCACTCTGACCTTTCTTCCATTTGCTGGAAGGTTTGTTTGTTTAGGGAATTTTGTTTTATTGTCTGTAGGTAATGCGTATGCTTGCAGAGATAGGATGCTGTTTTTAGTCCATTGGGAACGTTCCGGCCTCGACCCATAACATATCTCTTGCTTGCTTTTTAAAATTTAAATTTTTTCTTTAACACACATAAAAACATAAAAGTCGGGTATATATAATGGGTAACACAGTGTTTCAGTATGCATCTATGCTGTGTAGTGTTTAGTCAGGTTGAATATACCTGTCCCCTCAAATAGCAGTCATTTCTTTCTGGTTCAAAACATTCGGAATCCTTGTGACTTTGAAATAAGCAGCACAGAATTGTTCCTGCAGTCACTGCGTAGTCAGTAGCAACCACACCTCCCACCCTCCCTCCCATGGGTTCCTGCTCACTGCTCCGCCTCCCCACTGCCCTCGAGTCTCTCCCAGGTCACTGTGCTGTGCTCCCGTCTGTCTCCCTGTGCCTGGCCGTTGCCCTTCACGCAGCGTGCCCCCTCCCGTGTGCTACAGGTGACAAGGTTTCCTTCTTTCTCCTCACTTGCAGCTGTCCCCTTGGGTGCGGGTACCGCGCTTCTGCACCCGTTCTTCCCGTGATGGGGACTAGGTGGTTTCTGTTTCTTGGCTCTGTGAGCTGTGCAGCCATGGACATGGGAGGGCAGACGCCTCCTCCACATGCCCGGCGGGGCATTGCTGGCGCCTGCCTACGGTAGTTGTGTTTGTGGTGTTGGGAGGCACTCCCGTGCTGTTTTCCAAAGTGGTTGTGCTGACTTCCCTCAGAGGTGTCTCATCAGCAAGGCTTCCCGTTCATCCACGCCCTCTGCAGGGTGTGTCTTTCCTCTTCGGAAAGGCCGACAGTGAGCCTGAGGGGACATTTCTCCAGAAGACCTGGAGATGGCCAGCAGACGCCTGGCATGTTCACCCCATCGTGATTACCAGGGAAGTGCAAACCCAGAGCACAGTGAGATAACAGCGTTCCTGGTGTCCCTCAGAACAAAGTGCCACTTAGGAGGCGTCCAGCAGTGTACCTCTTCTTAGCTAGTGGCTTTCCCTTGAGCGCTCGCCTCAGCCGTTCGCATCTGACTGTGACGGGGGACTGTTCGCTGCTCTGCAGAAGAATGAGGACCCTCAGTATTTCGGAGCAGAAGTCTGCAAACTTCTGATGTTATTTCACTTAGATGAGAATGTTGGTTTGGAGAGACTTCAAAGCTTTTGACTCTGAAGCTTCTTAAAATCAGTTTTACTTTGAGAAATTTCTTCTTTTTTCTTTTGTTTTTGTGGCTCTGGGGATCAAACCCAGGGCCTCACATGTGATAGGCCAGTGCTCCACCACGGAGCTACATCCCAGCCCAGTCCTAGAAACATTCTTCATTCAGAATGAAGCCTCCGAGCCTAGGCTGGGGGGGGGGGCCCTCCTCCCTCCCATCTATCCACTTTGGAAATTAGGAACATGTGACTGCTACTTTTCATAACATTTCCTGGGGTTTTAATTTTCTGTAGCAGTATTTGTTTGTTTTGAGTCAGAGTCCTGATGAGTAGTGCAGACTGGCCTTGAGCTCACTTTGTAGCCCACCCTGGCCTCCAACAAATAGCAATCTTCCTGCCTCAGCCTCCCAAGTATGGGATGATAGGTGTGTACCACCACACCCAGCTTTATCTGTTTATTTTAAGAGGTACTAGAGATGGAAACCTGGGCCTTCTTACTGAGTTTTATCCCTAACCCTTTTCCATTTTGAGACTGGGCCTTAGAAAGTTGCCCAGGCTGGGCTTGAACTTGTGATTTTTCTGCGTCAGCTTCCCAGAGTGCTGGAGTCACAGGCCTCTTGAGTATTCTCTCCTGTAAGGAACACAGGAAGACTTTTCTCTGCTATGATTTTCATTCACATTTCCATGATTTTTAGTACGTTATCCAGTAGTTTTTCTAATACAGTGGATCTTCCAAGTTAAAGCTCACCTGACATACGAACAACTTGGGTTAACACAGAATTTTAGTTTTAACTTATGACCAAAGTCTTGAATTATGACCCAAATGCCAGCCACTTGTGCTTCCAGATGGCCTCAGACACAGATTTAACCCTTAAAGAGTTCTGGAAGGAACATGACAACATCTCTCCTGTGTGGGGTTAACTGAGAGATCCTGGGGCAGTGTCTCTCTCAGGACACTTGAGTTCTGCCTATGTGCAGGATACGCTGAAGGCTGTGTAGAGGAGCCTGAGCCTTCACTGACGAGGTTGAGTTACAGCCAGCCCTCGGGAACAAATTGAGTTCCTAAGTCAAGGGTCCACTCTACATGAGTAATGTGTGCTCTAGCAGTTCTTATGTTTGCACAGCTTAAGCCTTGTGCATGTTAGTTTTAAGTAGTAATTAATTCTCAAGATGTTTTATTAGTCACTTCATTTCATGTAGCAGACACTTTTGTTCCTGCAGCACCTAGTTTGATTTGGGATTACATATCACCTCAGGCCTGGTTATTTGTTTTCATTATTAGAAAGCATTTATTTATGGTAGATGCTGTTACTCTACATAGATTGTACCTACCAATTGTTAGGAATGTATAGTAATATGTTTTGAATTATCACTTGATTAACTGTTTCTGCTTTTCATTCAACTTTGATCAGGAAAAAGCTTCAGTATTTACTCCATTCCCTCTAGATTCGCAGTAGATTGTGTTTAAGTCCCAGTCCGTGTGCTAGCCATTCTTTGAGGAGAGCTTCCAGTGTTGGGCGGAACCCGTTATTTGAACTGCTGCTTTTCATCTTCCCATTTAGAAATTGCAGTTTTCAAGCTTTTCCTTAAATACAGGAATAAAAAGAAGAAAATCCCACTGCTGAATGGGGAAGAAGCTGATATGGATCTCTCTGCGATGGAGTAAGTCACTTTCAAGTGTGTCATTCTCAAAATGTGCGCTTCCACACTTTTTAAAACCAACAGACCTGAGTTAAGGACGCAGGCACCCAAGGGAGGGAAGCCGTCTGGATGGGGCGCTGTGTGTTGGGGTAAACGGCCTCACCTCCCGGTGGCTCCCACAGCAAAGGCCAGCTCGCCTGGGGACACACAGTGGTGTCTGAGGCCCAGCCTCGGCCGTGGGGCTGGTGGTTTGGATTTCCCTGGTCAGCTTTGGAGCAGGGCTCCAGGGCACATGGAGCTTTCTTGTGTTTGCAGAACAGTTTAAAGACCCCTGCTCTGCCAGCTGGCTGGTGGCATGTATCGCATGGCTGTGCTTCCTTTTAAATATAATGCATCTGGTCCTTTGTTATTTTGTCCCTCCAACTTGTGTCTGTGTTTTTCATAGGACATCAGAGTTATTTACTGATTTGGATGCAGAGTTATCACTGTTATTTCCATAAAAGATCAGTGTTAATATACATTGTTTCAGAGCAAGTACTTTGCCTATGTAAACACACAATACTATTTGTTAAATTGAATTAATGTTACAGGTGGTGTTCTCTTGATGAAAGTATTAACCTAGAATTTGAGTTTTGTTTTGTTTTATATGTATATATTTTTTGAGACAGAGTCTTGCTCTGTAGTTCAGACTGGCCTTGAACTCACCAAGTAGCCCAGGCTGGCCTTGAATTCCTGACAATCCTCCTGCCTCAGCCTCCCGAGTGCTGGGATTACAAGTGTGCACCACCACACCCAGCTAACCTAGACTTGATTTGTAAGCCATCATTGTTACTTAAGAAGTATCTGAGTATAAGCTCATGATTCCTTTCAAATTATGATTTCAGAACTTGCTGTTTGGGAAAAGTTATCATGAGTCTAGCCTTTAAAAAAGTAAATGGAGTAAATTAATTTAGTAAAATATTTTTTATTTTTTAGTCACAAATTGATATCTAATAAAGGATAGTATTTATCACCAAAATCAGTTATTAGGCTAGAGAAGATTAAATGAAGAAATTTCATCACTCTCCGTCCATCTCATAATTACAAGTAAAAATGCCAGAAGGGAAGTGGGAGACTCAGTATTTTATGTGACAGCCATTTTTGTACCTTCGAATATCTTTTCAGCAAGACTGACATAGATTAAACATGGTGAGAAAGTTGACATCTACTGAACAGTGAAACGCTCTTCAGTGCAGTTTAGAAACTCAGCAGCCTCGTGTGTTCACTCTGGGCAGAGTCTGGCTGGCCACGGCTTTGCTTCGTGGCCTGGAACGAAGCCGCCTTGCGTTCTAAACACTAAAAGGCAGCGGTGTCCCCACAGCGCGGACTCGCCCCTGCTGTGGATCCGCATCGACCCCGACATGGCGGTGCTGCGGAAGGTGGAGTTCGAGCAGGCCGACTTCATGTGGCAGTACCAGCTGCGCTACGAGCGCGATGTGGTGGCGCAGCAGGAGTCCATCCTGGCGCTGGAGAAGTTCCCCACGCCCGCGTCGCGCCTGGCGCTCACCGACATCCTGGAGCAGGAGCAGTGCTTCTACCGCGTGCGGATGGCCGCCTGCTTCTGCCTGGCCAAGGTGAGGCGGGCGCGGGGGTTGGAGGAGGAGGAGGATTCGGAGTGTTTCTTGCTTTTTTTTTTGGTTTTTTGAGACAAGGTCTTGCTGTGTAGTTCAGGCTGGAACTCATTATGTTGCCCAGGCTGGCCTCAAACTTGTGGCGATCCTCCTGCTTCAGCTCCCGAGTGCTGGGATTACAGGTGTACCCACCACACCTGGCTGTGTCTTTCTTTAAAAGCCTCTGAAACTCATTTAAAATTCACCAGTCTTTAAATTAACTTAGTAGTTTTTTTAGCGAAAGCTTTTACTAAATGTTTTTAACAGACTGACTTAAAAGAAATTTTTCACCTCAAAAGTGACATTTGCAAAAATTTTTGTCCAACTGTAAAAAATCAGACTTGTAAAATCAAATAGAATTTTCACTGTTTTATTCGATTGCCAACTATGTATTTTTTTTAAAAGATTATATTTGCTAAGAAAGTCCTTGGTTTCAGTGATTTTTTTTTTTTTAAAACATAGTACATGAAATCACTTCAGTGTAATTAGCCCATAGGGCAATTACTTCACATTGATTTGGGTTCAGGAATCAGTATTTGTGATAAGTAATTTAGAGTAATTGGCTCTGTAATTCTAATTCTAGAAAAGGTACTTTATTGAGGAAGCTCAGTATCTTTCTTTAGATGCAAAAAAATCTGATGATGGAATGAATGAAAACCAGAATAACAGACAGAAATTTGGCCAGAAATACTAGTTACCAGGATTAACATAGAATCTCGATAATCGGCTCATTCCCGTTTCTAACAGCGGTATCCATTTGTCTTACCTTATAGCAGATTATAATGGTTTAGGTCAGTTGGTTAGCCTAGTTTTGGTTTCTTGAGACAGAATCTTGCTATGTAGCCCAAGCTGGCCTCAAACTCTTGGTGATCCTCCTGCCTCAGCCTCCCGATTATAGGCAGGCACCACAACTGGCTAGATTTTGATGATAATGAGCAGTTGAATTCCAGTATTCTAAGATATTAGAGGGAAAATACGATTATTTTGTAAGGGATGTAATTTCATTGCTCCTTGTAAAGATTTTTGTGATTCCTGTGTGCTAAAGTCTTAGCAGAGACGTCACATTGTATGTTATTTATAAACTTAAAAAAGAAATTTTTTTTTGTACCGGGAACCAAACTCAGGACCTTGTGCTGGCCAGATAGGCACTGTGCTACTGAGCTACATCCCCGGCCCTTCGTTGTATATTCTTTAAACAATTTTTTTTTCACATACCATAAAAATAGTGATCTCAAGATCTGATTTTTTTCTTCCGTAGAATGTATTCTTACAGACACAAATAGTATACTGTATTGGCTTGATTTTCCCTTAGACTGAAACAACTTATTTAAAATTAATAGTGATGTTTCCATGAATAAATTAAAAATTTTACAGTTATATCTAAATGGATAAGACAGACTTATTCAGAGCAGCATCTTTTTGAAAACATTTTTTTCTTAAAACATGAAAGAATGCTGTAGTTGAGAAATTGTGGGAAGTAACTGTAAGCACACCGGGAGTTGTTCTGGAGAGTGAGTTTGTTATTTGCTCGGAATCGGCACTGAGAGCCAATTTGTGTCGGTTCCCCAAGTTGTGCTGGGGGCCTGTAGGAGTGGGCGGCTTTCCTTACTCCGCCCCCTGTGCTGGTGTGGGAAACCCCTCATCTCTGATGACTTACAGATTGCAAATTCCATGGTGAGCACGTGGACGGGACCCCCGGCCATGAAGTCGCTCTTCACCAGGATGTTCTGCTGTAAGACCTGCCCGAACATCGTGAGAACAAACAACTTTTTGAGTTTTCAGAGTTATTTTCTACAGAAGGTACAGTGTACTCTCGAATTAGGTTTTTCCGTTTAACTTAATTTTACTTCTGCTTGCCCCTTAGGACTTTTGTGTGACAAATGTGCCAGTGTTGATTAACTTGGAGACTGTTGAAGTAGTGGGTGCCTTTCTTACACAGACGTCTGCCCGCTGGGCCTGGGCCTGCGGGGACTGCTGTCCCGTTGCTCGCCCTGGTGGTGTCGGAGGCTGGGCTGTGGGGCTGATGCAGACCAAGAGCTTTCTATGAGCTCGGTTTTAGAAATGCTGTGTGGAATGGTGCGGATCTGTTTAGGAGAGGGCCTGGCAGTGGTCAGGTGGCTCTTGAACCCCGTCAGGCGCAGGCAGGCGTCGTTGAGGTGAACGAGACAGACAGACTGGAACGAGGGAGTGAAGCTGAAGTGGAGGAAACCAGTGAAGCCTGTTCTTCCATGCTTCCAGTTGAAGAATGGAGAAGGAGATGCTGAGGATGGCGCAGACTGGAAAAAAGGACATGTTGGGCTTGTGTTGTTTCCTGTGGAGGAAAGAGAAGCGGGCAGCGGAGAGGAGAGCTGCAGTTGCTGGGGTTGCGGGGGAGCAAACGGGAGGAGCCAGGCAGGCCGAGCTGTGGCGGCGCAGGTGGGAGGGGCCAGCAGGTGGGAGGGGCCAGGTCCGAAAGCAGTGAGAAGATGCGGCAGAGGGCGCCAGGCACGGAGCCCTGCGTGTGCGGGAGAGCCTGGAGACGCCGAGGGGCAGGGGCACGTGCGGGTGCGGGCGTGAACCCGGGAAGGCGGACGGCGACAGAGGAGGGGGACACGGAGGTGCGGCCTCGGAAGCCCAGGGCTCCCTGTTACGTTCAGATCTGCGAGCAGGACTTGAACTTGCCGCCCAGTTCGCGCGCTGATGTCTGTGTCTACCTCGTGTGCCCCCTCTTTATGTGCTGTGCTCCATGTCCCTCAGATCAGTGTTTCAGATTTGCACTGTGCGCAGTTGTGGAGAGGTCATAAAATTAACTTAAGATTCGCGAGTTTTAATTTTTGGGGGGTACCAGGGATCGAACTTGGGACCTTGCTCTTGCGAGACAGGCGGCAGTGCCGGACCACTGAGCTATATCCCCGGCCCCAGTGGGGAGTTTTGATTTAAATGAGAGAATGCATCAGGTGTGATGAGCGCCGGTCCTGGAATACGGCCTGTTTTACCTGGCTTCCGAAGAGAGAGTGCACGCTTAGGAGCGTGCGCGTGGTGTGTGGCGTTATAAAATGTGAGCTGCGTCAGAAACCTGGAAAGCGGGCGTTTGAGACCGCTTCACCGCTCACGTGATACTTGTAGTGGGCAGGACAGAGATGGAGCCCAAGTGACACCCGGTCACGGGGGAGGAGCAGCGCAGGCTAGGCACTGTGCTTCGGTGGACAAGAGCCCGTCGACGGTCAGTGGGTCCCACGGCGCGGCTTCCATCCCTCCTCTCGGACCTTCCCGCAGGGCCGCGTTGTGAGGACGCAGCTGTCTAGTCTGTGCTTCTGCCTGTTGTTCAGTCAGCCTTGCTCCCCTCGTAGGCTTTATCGCCGTGTCTGTGAACGTTTGGAAGGACAAAGGTGGGTTGCAGTTGGAATCGCTTGCCCTTCGCTCGTAGCTCTTAGTCCGGGGCTCTGTGCTACTACAGAAGGAGCACGGCTCGTGCGCGGCTCATGGACTCTGCTGCGTGTCCTCAAGCCCCGAGTACGCAGCTGTGAGGAAGCACAGCCCTGCCCCGGCGGCAGCTGGCTAGAGACGTTGGGGAGACAGTGGAGCTAGGAGTTGCGTCATCTCTTCCTGCTAACACCGTGCCTTTCCTGTCGGGTCCCCGAGAAGGGAGTGAGGTGACTTACGTGACATACACTTTGCTCCAGCACATGAGGCCCGAGGCGCGTGGCTCCAGAACACCCCAGTTGTTTAGCTTTTCCCAGGACTCCCCACCCCGGGCTCTGGTCAGAGGCTTTGAGATAGACGCCGGGGAGCAGGCAGAGATGGGAGACCCTCCCGCAGACACCTGCACCACCAGACAAGGGCTTCTCTGTATGTGGCTCGAGAATTGCAGGGACGGGGATTTAGCTCAGTGGTGCCACCGCCTGCCTCGCAAACGCAAGGTCCTGAGTTCAATCCCTGGTACCAGAAAAAAGAATTCCAGTGGGACAGTTGAGTTATGTGCCTTTAAAAATCTTACTCTTTTTTCCTTGTAGACGATGCCCGTTGCAATGGCTTTATTAAGAGACGTTCATAACCTTTGTCCCAAAGAAGTCCTAACATTTGTTTTAGACTTGATCAAGTACAATGACAACAGGAAAAACAAGGTAAAGTACTCTTTTAATGAATAGCATAAAACTACCGAGGGGTACTTTGTTTTTAAAGTAGTGTTCTGGGGGTTGGGCGTGTACCTAGCATGTGCAAGGCCCTGGTTTACTCCCCAGTACCTCCCCTGCCCTTGCCAAAAAGGAAGAAAGAAGAAAAGAATGACTTCGTCTATACAGCCATCGTTGAGCCTCTGATACTAAGAACTTGCAGAGTTGGACCAGGGATTTAGCTCAGTGGTTCTGCTGGCTGCCTCGCAAGCGCAAGGACCCGAGTTCAATCCCTGGTACCAAAAAAAAAACCAAAAAAAAAAACTTGCAGAGTTAGAGGCGGACAGACGTGATTTCTGAGAACAGCCGGTGGGTGACAGGAAGGCGAATTGGCTTGAACTGTTCCTCCGGCTCTCCAAGTAGAGGGCTAGCAGGCGTCAGATTGAAGGAGCAGCTAGAGCCTTCTTCGCAGAAGTCTGCAGCGTGGTTCTATGACCTTGCTTTCTTTTATGAAATAATACTTTTTTATGAGCATTTCCTGCATGTTCATTGGTAGATTTGACTTTTTAAAACCATTGTACTTTTATTCATTTATTTAGCAAATAGGTATCAGATACTTCAGAAGTGATTTCATTCTACTTGCTATTAGTCTAACAGCAAATGACTTTGAGAATAATGCTGCACTAGGCAGTGCATGCTGTTAACAGAAGGGAGAGGTAGTTGATGTCTCCAGGAACGTTTTGTATGAGTGACACATCATTGAGCAGCTGCTGGCAGCCTATGGTGGGTCCTCAAGGGCTGCGCGACTAACTGCTGCATGGAGGGCTGTGGCCTCCCAGCACCCCGAGCAGCAGCACACCTCCGTGGGAGTCGGGCCCTCGGGAGCTCTCCTTGGAGAGGTCGGCAGCCGCAGCTGAGCCCGACACCTTTCGCCCTTCACTCTTAACAGTGAAGTAGCTTGGGCTTCAGCGTCCCTGCAAGCAGCCCGCTGCCCGCTGCTCCGTGTGTTCTGTGCGCTGTGACTGCTCTCAGGGCTGCCCTGGCCACGGGCTCTCACCAAGCCGGGTGGGTTAGGGTGCAGGGTTCCTTCCTCTCGGGCCGGCCTTTCTCAGTGAGCAGCCAGCATGCTCAGGCGGACACATTTCAGGAGGCCGGGGGTTATTTTCCTGTCATTATTGTTTTGCACAAGTGACTCATATTTTCATAATTTTAACGCTGGATTGGAATAAAGCACAGGATGAAATTTATAATTTCATCTAGTATTTTATTTCAGTCAATACTTAGCTGGCTCGCTACGTCATTCCCAGGAATTCTCATAATGGACTATGTAACTGGCTGTATTTCTCATTATTTTCCTTCAGGTTTTTTGTTTTTTGGTTTTTTTGGCACAGTACTGGGGTTCAAACCCAGGGCCTTTGCTTCCCTAGCCCTTTATATTTTTTGTTCTTCTATTTTGAGATAGGGTCTCACTAAGTCGTCCAGACTGTGGTTGAACTCGGGGCCCTCCTGCCTCAGCCACACACCGTGCTGGGATCACAGGCGTGTGCAGCCACAGTGGGCTTTCTTCAAAGATCTTAGTTTTAGAGCTGCATTAAAGTTTTTCAACCTGTGGCCTGCTCCAAGAAGTCCTCAGTTACACCCGTAAAAGGGAATTACTGCCATTTGAAAGATTACTGTCTGGTGCTTTGGAGATTTGACTTCCAGATTGTTCTTTATTTAGTGAAGTACTTTTCCCTTGTTAAGCCTTATTACAGGTTTGTGTGTGCAGATGTGCGCGCCTGTATGTATGATATGTTAAAATAGCTGTGGGAATCTCCCTAAAATTGAGATGCTTTATGAGCTTTTTATTCGTGTGACACTGGAGTCCCTTTCTGTTACCGTCCTGGTCAGAAATTTCCGTGGACATGGTAACTGAAGAGCTGGGCGAGCCGTGCTGTGCAGCCATCTGTTGCGAGCAGGACTTCATGTGAGACTATGGGGAGATGCGTCCTGTCTTCCTGAAGATACGTGACAGTGGGCACTTAGGACCAGTCTCACTAGTTTGGTCAGCGTACTATTTTGTTTGTCAAGAACTCTTTTCCTTGTATATATTCTGTGTGTCCTGATGAATACAAGACCAGAAAATAGCACACACCTGTTACCTGTCTTTCTTTAAACCAAACCCCTAAAGTTAATTTATTAGATGGAAATTAGTACAAGGCCTTTTTTTAGTAAAACATTTATTGGTACATTTTAGGTATACATAATGATAACTTTCATCATAGGGAATTTGTACCAGTACATGATATGTTGTGCTTCTTCTCCCCTCCCCACCATGTACAAAAGCCTTGTTTCCAATTTTTTCCTTCAGTTTTCTTTTATTCCTTGTCCCTTCTTTCCCCCTCCCCCCTCCTTTGTTCCCATTTTCATTTGAACATTTTCTTCCCATTTCTCAATGTCTTTTATACATTTTAGTCCTAGTTCCACTTTTGTTTTCTCACACCAGAGAAACAATATGGAATTTAAACGTGTGTTCAATATATTGCACTCAGGAATATAGTCTCAAGGTGCATCCATTTAGCTATAAATGTCTCAAGCTCATCCTTTATGGCAGAGTAGTACTCCATTATATGAAAAAACCACCTCCTCTTTGTCCATTTGTTGGGTGATGGGTCTTTGGGCTGTTTCCAAGATTTAGCTATTACAAACTGTGCTGCTAGAACCATGGGTGTGCATATATCACTGTGGTATGATGCTTTTAATTCTTCTAGAACGATACTAAGAAAGGGAATAGCTGGATCAAATGGATCCTCTAGTTTTAGTTTTTTGCGGTATCTCCATGCTGATTTCCACAGTGGTTGCACCAGTCTGCACTCCCACCAACAGTGGAGCAGGGTTCCTTTTTCCCCACACCCCCTCCAGCGTTTGTTATTGGTTGATTTCTTGATAACAGCCATTGTTTCTGGAATAAGATGGAATCTTAGCGTTTTAATTTGCATTTCGTGAATGACTGGTGATGTTGAACTTTTTTTTATGTATTTGCTGTTTCTACTCCTTCATCATTTCAGATGCCCATTTTTGAATTGGGGGGAGTCTGGGGTTTTTTGTTTTTTTTTTTTCGGTTCTTTATATATTCTAGATAGTAGTCCTTTGTCTGAGGAACAGCTGGTAAAATTTTTTCCCACACTGTGGGTTTTCTCTTCACTCGGTTGGTGGTTTCTCTTGCTGTGCAAAGGCTTTTTAATATGATGAGGTCTCAGTTGTTGATTCCATAAAGTTTTATTGGAGCACAGCCATGCACACTTGTTTGTGCTTTCATTCTACAGTGACTGAGTTGAGCAGTGATGACTGATGTGTGTGTCCCTCCAAACCAGTCTGTCCCTTTACAGAAAACCTTGCGAGCTCCCGAAGGAGGAGCCCCCCATACTCCAGTGTCAAAGATCTCAGTTGTTGATTCTTTGTGATAGTTCCTGTACAACTGAAGGTTTGTTCATAAAGTCCTTGCCTACTCTAATGTCTAAATCCCCAGCATGAGCTTCTTGATGTGCTGCATTCTGTTTGCCAGTATCTTCTTGAGGATTGGTTTTTTCCTTGAGGCTTTTTACATCTGTGTCCATTAGGTTGGGTCCTTCTCTGACTTTGGTATCAGGGTGAAGTTTGCTTCCAAGACTGAATTTGGGAGTATTGCTTCCCTTTCAGTTTCATTAAAGAGTTTGAGAAATAGTGACATTAGGTCTTCTCATTGACTGATACTGGTTTATTTAGAATTTTTATATCTTCTTGATTCAGTTTGGGTAATTCATATGTATCTAGGAATCTGTCCATTTCTTCTGTGTTTTCCATCTTATTAGAATACAGGTTCTGGATGTAGGTATTGATGATCTTATGGATTTCTGCAGGATCTGTTGTGATTTTACCCTTTTCATTCCTAATTGCATGGATTTGAGTCTTTTCTTTACTTTTTTTGATAAAGTTGGCTAAGGGCTTTTCAATTTTATTTAATCTTTCAAAGAACCAACTCTTTGATTCATTGATTCTTTGTACTGTTTTCTTAGTCTTCATTGCATTAATTTCTGCTCTGATCTTCATAATTTCCTCCCTCATTTGAGCTTCGGGCTTGACTTGTTCTTTTTCTAGAAGCTTGAGGTTTAACATTAGGTTGTTTATTTGAGCCTTCTCTGTTTTCCTGATATGGATATTCACTATTATAAATTTCCCTCCTAGGACTGCTTTCATTGTGTCCCGTAAGTTGCAGTAAGTTGTATTGGCATCATCGTTTAATTGTAGAAACTATCTAATTTCTTCTTTAATTTCCTCTGTGACCCATTGGTTGTTCAGGAGGGTGTTGTTTAATTTCCGTGTGTTTTTGAAGTTCTTATGGTTTCTTTTGCCATTAATTGTCAATTTTATTGCATTATAGTCTGTCTGATAATATGCATGGGATAATTTTAATTCTTTTGCATTTACTTAAGCATGTTCTATGAGCTAGTATGTGGTCTACTTTGGAGAATGTCCTGTGTGCTGCTGAGAAGAATGTGTATTGTAATGTTGTAGGCTGGAATATTCTGTAGACATTTACTAAGTCTTATTTGTTCAAAAGCTTGGTTTGATTCTGATATCTTATTGTTGATTTTTTTGTCTAGTTGATCTCTATTTCTTACAGTGGGGTATTGAATTCCCCCATTATAGTTGTAGTAGTGCTTATTTGATTTTTTGTGTCCATTAATATTTGTTTTATATAGTTGAGTGCACTGGTATTTGGTGCATATATGTTTATGTTTGTTATCTCTTCCTCTTAGATTGTTCCCTTTACAAGGATATAGTGACCTTCTTTGTCTCTCTTAGTCATGGTTTGAAGTCCACTTTGTTTGCAAATAAAATAGCTACCCCTGCTTTTTCTCCATGTTCCTGTCACATGGAATATTGTTTTCCATCCTTTGACTTTTAGTCTGTGAATTTCTTTTTGAATTAAAAGTGTTTCTTGTATGGAGCATCTTGTTGGGTCTTGCTTCTTGATCCATTCTGTCAGTCTG